CCCTTTAGCTTTGGTGATTTTAATATTTTATGCTATTGCAAAGAAAAAAACAATCAATCCTCCTTTATGGAAATTACTTAAGAGGACAGCAGACAAGCCTGCATATACTGCTGCCTGAGACAGTCAGATGGATGCGGCATCCGAGTTGTCACCACCTCTGCTGCTTTCCCCCGTGGGATTATCTAGGAACTGCCTCCACTCACATTGGCAGCTTTCTCAGTAAATTCTGAGGCCTTGGTAACCAAGTAGCATTAATTATGGTTACTGGGTCCAGTGGGTAATATGGTGGCCATGTGAGGTATGGATTCATCACTCCCAAGGATCATAGATGTCTTTCTGTGCCAATGGAAGTGCATAAGGCTCCTGGGCATTCATTCATACAGTGTTTAAAACTGGACAGTACCTGCCATTTATTGAGTGTCTGATGTGTACCAGTCACTGGCCATCACTATATATACACTAAGTGACAACTCTGTGACTTGCAATGATGTCCCCATTTTTCAGATAGAAGATACTGAGTTGAGAGTGGTTGATGATTTGTCTGAGTCACATTGTGAATAGAATGAGGGTTGGTAGGCTGGTCTGTATGACTGCAAAACAACATTCTTTTCTCTGCATCATACACTGCATCCCCAAAGCAAATGCTGGCTGACTTACTCTTCGTTCCTGACTATTAGAAACTGGAAATTAATCTTGAGGTAGGTCAAGGATGACAAAGAAATTAACCCTGAGCTTGTATGATATTTAAGAATTCTATAATATTTTTCTTTTTGTTTTGCCTGCTTCTGCTTCTCAGTGTCCATAGCAGGTTGTAATGGAGGATGCTGTGTAATACCTCTAGTTAGTGCTGAGGGCTTTTTCTACTAGAAATTGCTGTATTTTTTATGGTTTAACTTCTACACAAGGCAATATATAAAAGCTTGGATTCTGAACTAAAATCTTGATTCATATTTCTACTCCAGCAGTTATTGACCCTGTGCCTCTCTTAGCTTTTCTGTGCTTCACTGTTTAATCAGCCATAAAATAAATTTAATAATCATTACCTAAAAGACTATTTTGGAGATATAACCAAATAACCTACGTAAAGCATAGACATGGGGATATAGAAAGCACTAAATAAATATTGTCATCCTCATCCTCATCACTGTGTAGGTTACTAGAATCATTGAAATGGTATTGCTATATTAAGAATAGCTATAACTAAAAAAGAGACCATCTTAATAACCAAATGCTTGCAGAAAGCACTTTAGAAGTTTCTAAATTATTTTGGATATATTTCTTTGAAAACATTTATATTATTTATGAATTTAAAAATAGTTTAGATAAGATAGTTGGCCAGTTTCAGTGGCATTAACATTCAGAAAGCAATGGCCTAATTGTCTTTATTACTTGTATATAAAGTGAATCTATACAAAATTTTGTAGCCACAACCTAAAATATTTCCAGCAGTTCCTTTATATATCTTAGAAATGAGATTAAAGTAAGAAAATGACAAAAAACCCTATGCAGCAGATCTTCTGGCTCTCATTTTCAGAGTCTTATTTCACCCTACCTGAGTCACGCTGAACCATTCAGCTATTAATAAGAGTCTCATTGTCTGTCTGTTTACCACATCTTTGATACGAGGAAACTGGTAACCAACAGTCATGTTGGCAGATTTCCACCTGCTTCCCAGGAGGTATTGAGACAAGTGAATGTGAGCCTGGAGAACTTCCTTAGACTAGGCTGAAGAGCTGCAGGGAAATGTGTGTTCTAGACTTTTGAACTGAGCTAAAAATGCCTCAGTTCTTTCTGAGCAGAGGGAACAAGAGGTGGGTAAGTACTTCCCTCTTCTCTGTGTATTCTAAGTTCTTTTAAAAACCGAACTGGAAATTAAAGTGTAATTTAGTATTTGAGAGGAAACTTGATTTTAAAAGAACAATGAACAAGTTTATATAATCCTTTATTTAGCTTGCTTATATAATGTATACAATCCCTTCAAGGTAGTGGCATGTGTTTCCATGTTACTGTGAAAGAATAAGAAAAGTAGAAAAATTACAGCACAAATTATGGTCTTAAAGGAAACCATGTGAAAAGAACTAATTTTGTAACTGCAGATGTTGCAGAATTGAATTTGGTATGTTCCTCATTGACCAATCATAGCTTTAAATCTAGTCAACAAGAGCCTGGTGATGATTAACCAACTGGCCTTTTCATTTTCAAAAGTCAGGTTCTTTAAACGTTTTCTGAAGTTCCATCTTTTTTCAAAAGAGCTATGATTTTTATAATTCCAGAGTAAGCTAGAAGGTACTTTTCTGTCTAATCATCTGTTCATGACACTAAGGGACTGTTCTCTACAAACTAACCAGAAAACACTGAAAAGTTCAGAAACTTTCTTTGGTTTTTGTGGTGCCTAGAACTGAACCCAGGGCTTTATACATACTAAGCAAGGGCTCTGCCACTGAGCTACAGGGTATTGTGCAGGGTGGGGTGTATTGTGCATAGAAGAAATGGATGGTGCTACCTCCAAAGTACTCAGTCTGACTAGAGTCCAAGTCTAGGTGTGGTAACTTAAAACTGTTTTTTATAGCTGGTGACATTAAAAATATAGCACTCAAGATGCTTATATATTTTATAATGAAATATAATAATGGGTGGTTAAGTTTGTTATTATATAACTTTAGATATAACTTTTAGTTTAAAATAGCATAAGTTTGAAGCCAACTCAAGGTAATGAGGCCATTTTTCTATTTAGGATAGATAATGATGATTAGCTTCTAATAATATACAAATATAAGACAGGCAAGTTTATAAAGTTATTGGCTTCATTATACTGAAGGTTAATTAAAATAGCTTATTCGTAGTTAATAGTTAAAATAATGGGAATAAACTGCTATTTTTATAAACTATAATTTTTTCAGTAGACTATAAATACATACTTGTGGTATATGAGTAAAATACTCATTTACTTACAGTGACTCAGTAAACATTTTTAGATTCTCTGTGCCCTGGAAAATCAACATTTGAGGTTTAGATTTTTCACTCAGTTTTTATATGTACTGTACTATACTATATTAGAAATGAATGAACTTTTTCCTTTTCTTCCATGATATAAACTATTTTGCAGAGTAAATATTTTACAACTGTTAGTTCTGGATCATGTGGTTGCTAACTCTGCTGATCTACAAAATTTTGGCAACATTTTAAAATTTCTTCTGCATCAATTGAGACAAAACTCATGCTTATTACACTTTAAATATACCGAACATTTCAATAACTGTCTTGATATGGAAATTAAGGGATTTAGTTTCCTTTCCTTGGTCAAGTTGCTTGAGTTAATCCTTCATTTCCACCTACATAGGTGAAGTTTCTTTCCACGTTTTGCTTTTCTTACTGTGTTTTCTAAGGGGAGAGCGTGGTGAATCAGCAAGGTGTGTGTGTTTTTCTCCCCAGCGATCTGGAAGTATAGGGAAGAAGTGAGTCTTTAAAGAGAAGTTCAGACCAAAGGCACCTGCCTGGATAAACTAAATAAGCAAAAGCAGTAGCCATATGGAACATGGTAAACCCATGGGTTCACAAAGATTGTTCAGTATTATTTGGTTCTATTTTTTTTTGGTATAAAACCTCCCTCTAGAACACAGGCATCACAAGAACAATTCTCTGGTCTGCTTTCTTCTTTGTCACTTTCTTCTCTGTGTTGGTGTCCAATAACAATTTGCTGATTCATTGAATGAATTATGACACATCCACTAACAGTTTTTGATCTTCTGATTTATTATATTTACTTGGCTAGAATTTTTTATATTCTATTAGATGATGAGAGGACTTACTAGTAAAATGTGTGACTTCTAAATGATTCTAATTCTTGATTTTTAAAAATTATAATATGGGAATATTTTTCCTCTAGGAAATTATCTCAAATATGAAGTAATTTAATGATGGGTTGGAGAAGCATTTTGTATTTTTCTATACAGTGACATCTGTATATCTTTACTACCCATGTTTCTTGGAAAATTTACTTTATTTAAAAAAAATACTTTTACTGGTTTTGTCTTCATAGAATCTACATTAGGGAGGTCTTGCTCAGATGTACTTGATGAATACGTAAGGCAAGATTTGTTTCCCTCATAAACTTGTGTGTCAGGAGAGTTTGGGATTATATTAATGAGTGGATTTGTGTACTTTAGCTTAAGGCAAATTAACTAGTTTTAAAGAAATTTTGATATGTGTTAGTTTGAAAAAATGCTTTCCTTCCAAAGATGCATTATGAAAAAAAGAAATAACTCACATACATATCAGAATACTCCATTTTAATAATAATTTTTAAGTTTTAGAACTTAAGCAGCCCCCAAACTTTTTAGTCTCAGGAACTCCTTACACTCTTAACAATTACTCAAGACTTTTAAATAGCTGTTGTTTATATTATTTAAACGATTGTGTTTATCGGTATTTACTGTATTAGAGATGTTCTCTTCCTGATCTACGCATGCTCTTCATAGTCTTGTAAAAGACATCTTTTTCTTGTACTTGACATATTATTTTCTTCTCTGTGTACTTCTATAAGAAACTCTAGAGACTAAACAATATTAAGGGTCTGGACTTTTTGACTTAGGCCTTTCCCTTATTTATTGCCATTTTCTGTTGGAAAAAATGGGCAAATACGTCTGTGTAAAGCTAATTAGCCTAAGTAGTAGATGTGCCATTCACGACAAGTTGTAAAAATGTCTGACATACTCAATATTTTGTGTGTACTAAAGATTTTCCAGAGCTACTACTCTGACTCCTTCTCTATGATTGCAAGGAGCTTTGCAGTTGATGTTTAGCAGTGGATCCATAGGAAGGAAGATAAAATCCTCACTAACCTATCTTCCTGCCTGTTGCCCTTATCTTTCGTCTCTGAGGCATTTGATGTTTTTAACACCACTCACTGTTTGTGCTATGGGCTGTGTGATCTCACCTGCATGCCCATCGATACGAGGAACAAGTGTCTAACCACGGCCTGCATTTCCACTCATTTTCAGAGCATCCACACCCTGGAGAGGACTGCTTCCTCTAGCACCGAGCCCTCTGTAAGTCGCCATTTCCTAGAACCGGAGCCAGTCCCCATCTCCAAGGTCAGTGACAGAGGTGCTTGCCTTCTCAGATGGAGTCCTGCCTGCCTGGGGCCAAATGAACTGTGAATAACATTTACACCTGGCTCCTCTGAGGTAGCTGTGACACCAGGTGTAAGGCCAACTTCCTTCTGCCTGCAGTACAAGAGTTTCTTTACCTGGTGTAAGGAGAGAACTGATGAAAGTATAATTTACACTGGATTTGCAGGGCAATGTACAAAGGGCTAGAATTCTTTTTATTTTAAGGGAAAGGGAAAGAGAAAGTATTGTTATTCCTTATAGGAGAGATAAGTAAATATTTTTGTGCCAAAGTAATGGGAAAAAACTCTCTGGGTCCAGCAATAATAATGATAATAATAGTTACCATGGCTGGTCACACTCTGCATACCAGGCACTATGCTGAGTGCTTAAATACATTACCCCATTTAATATAATTCTTATAAACAGCTCCATGTAGATATTTGTTATCTTTTACAGAAAGGGAAACTGAGATTTCTTTTCCCAAAATTAAACAAGCTGTTAAGTAGCAGAGCAGAAATTCAGACTTAAATTTGTCCAGCTCAACAACCAATACTTTCTCGCTGTCCATGACCTGCAAGGTAACATAGTACTTGCACATGGTGGCTTTCTCACAGTGGTCTCCTCATCTCTGGGGAGAAGACTGCAGATCATTTATTCAGACTTTTACTGTGTCATGAGAGCCAGAGTTCCTTCCCTTTTGGCCTGCTCTTCCTTAGATTAAGGAAGCACCTACATTCCTTTATGTCTAAAAGGACATGATCACATTAGGACTTTTGTCTGTTTCTAAGTACACCTAAGAAAATTGGAGACTTTCAGCAGAAAATAAATATCAATTGAAATTTCAAAAGAAATTCTTCAGTTGTCAGAAAGATGTTTAGTTTTCTGATGATAGACTTAGTTTACTAAGCATAGCGGAAAGAATTTCAACATAACAGATAGAAGAACACAGAAGATTCTATCTTGTACTGAGATGGGTTCATTTCTTACAGAACTGATTTGTGACATTATCATCAGCATTTATAATGGAAATAGGGAGAACATTGTTTGCTCTGGTTTTATCCTTTGCCTCTTTGTTAGCTTGACAGCTTATTTAATTGGAAGAACTATATTAGAATTTTTTTCCGTTTCTTTTGCTAGGCAGGGGAAAATTACATCAAAGCAAATGGAATTGTTTATTCATAGTTGCAGCAATTATTGTTACATTTTAACCTTTTACCTTTTCTACCTTATCCTTTTTTTTCCCCTCTCCAAATTCTCAATGAATAGAAAACCACTCTGATAGAAATCAATAGCCATATGGGCCTGGGATTTAGCTCAGTTTTTCTGCCGCCTGCTTTGCAAGCGCCAAGGTCCCAAGTTAGATCCCCAGTACCAAAAAAAAAAAAAAAAAAGAAAAGAAAGAAATCAATAGCCATAGCTCCAGAGGGACAAGCTATTAGTACATTCTGAGTTAATTTGGGGAAAAAAAGAAAAAGAAATGCGTTTGTACTGATTATTAAATGTTTCCATTTTCATAGGTTACATATAGTATTTGTCATCTTTCACACATACACAAAATCAAAGTTAAACACTAGTTTTCAAGTAAGATCTGGCAGATATAAAATCTTTTTCATCAGAAATACTACTCATGGATGAAGCCACCAAAAGAAGACAATGTCTTTATGTAACTGACATCTAAGAAAAGAAAATATATTTACATATATATGAAGAATCTAATAAATTCTATTCATCTAATGAATATACATATTTATGGAAGGTTGTTATTAATTTCTTAATTATATCAAACTTTTGAAAAAGAATTAGTAAAAATCCATCATTTTATGGAATAGAATAGTTACCTACTTTTCTAATAAGAGTAGAAAACCAAAATTCTAGCCTTTTTATAAGAAGTTACTATTTCTCTTATCATTGTAACATTATGCATAAGCAGTTCTCACTTGTTGAATTGCAATCCCATATTAAGAGGCCTTCTGCTTGGTACTGGATAACGTGATAGTACTACTTGCGCTTTGTGTTGTCCAAAAGAAATAGTTTCTACAGCCTGAAATTATCTCATCAGAAACATTTTTTTAAAATCACTGTATCTCATTAATAGCTTTGACTAGATCAATCGCTGTTTCTGAGAATTATCTTCAAGTAGAAAATCCCTTCTTGAATTATTAAAGATCCTTTCCAGACTCTTGCATGCTGCTGAATGAACACCAGTAGGTGTGTTTCTACCAGGTGCTGTATGTAGTGTATTCCTCAGGGATGACCTGGAAGGTGAAGAAGGGACAGCAGTCAGGGTGGGTTTCCTGGGGTGGGGTGGGGTAGTTGGGGCTTGGGCATAGGGAGAGAGCAGAGACATGGTGTCAGGTGGAGGGCTGTTTAGAGGCCAGGGGCACCTCCTAGCTTTACCAAGGTTAGAATGAGACAGTGTTAGCCACTTCTCCTGAAAACATAACTTCATGTGGAAGCCCTTCCCTGTTCACACACACTTGAATTTAGCATTGACTAAACTTGACTGCAGGGCAAGCAGGCTTCAGGAGGAAAAGGCCGAGGAGAAGAATGATGGGACTACTCAGCCACTCCCTTCCTGGCTCGCAGGCCCATATCAGTAGCTGATGGGGACATCTCTTCCTCTGAGCCTCTTGTTCCCTAACAGAATTTGGGTAGCCACCAGCGCCTACTTGCATCAGCAAAGCCGTCTGACCTGAGATGAATTCTGTTGGCCATTCCTGTTGAGCCCATTGTTCTGTACACTAATGATGTTCCTGATAGAACAAACCTTTTCTGAAGCCAGCTTCCCAAGTCCGCTGGGGAGGGGCCTGGTGCAGAGCACCCACCTTTTCAAAGCTAGGGTGGTGCAGCAGGTTACCTGAGAGGATTTGTCCCCGTGCACTGCATCCCCGGCTCCAGGGCAGGGTGCAGCAGTGGTGCAAGGGCCATGAAGATCCTGTTCCTGCCTCGGCAGCTACAACTTCTGCTTAATTGTTGAAAGGGCATATCTTGGTCCAAGGTGTCCTGCCCAAGCCTTAGAGTATGGACTGCTCTGGTATTTGTCGGGTCACTTTTTATTATAGAGTTGCACAGGTCCCTAGAAACCTCCTGATCCTGGGATTTTCAAACCTTGGCTACTGTAAGGCCCAGATAGGTTTGCTAAGCTCAGCAGGGACCGAGGCAGACTGGAGACCGGCATCTTTCATGCAACAATGTCACCAAATCTTATAGGCATTCAGAATATCTGATAAAAATCTAATAAAACAGGTCTCATGAAAGAGGAAACTGTACTGCTGGGCATGATGGCACACGCCTGTAATCCCAGCATTTGGGAAGTTGAGGCAGGAGGATCACCGCCAGTTCAAGGCCAGCCCCGGCTGCATAGCGAGTTCAAAGCCAGTCTGAACTACAAAGTGAGACCCTGTCTCAAAAACAAAACCAAACAAAAAAGAGGAAACTGATTCAGTTAGTTTTTAACAGAACGATAAGAGTGTGGACTCTAGAACTAAGGTTCCTTTTTAAAAAAATTTACTTTTATTTTGATGTTGAGGATTGAACCAAGAGCCTTGCAGACACAGAGTAAGAATGCCCTGTAGCACTGAGCAGTCTCCTTCCTGTGTATCCAGCTTCATGGCCATGCAGGCTGGTACTCCATACACGGGCTCCCAAGAGGATGTGTACCTTTGAAAGCCTGGACTTTTTGGTGTGCATTTGACGAACAAGATGTTTGATGTGCACGTAGAAATCCAAGTAGCCACCCTAGGAGAAAACATGACCTCAGAGCTGTTCATTTCTGTAAATAGCAGCTTACGAGCCACTTTGGACAATTGCAGCCTTTCCATTTCTACACAGAAAGCCAGGTCTGCACACTAATTGAACATGTGCCATCCAAATGGTCACATTTGGGGACTTTACTCAGGGAATAACTGGAAAAATTCATCTGAAACATTCTGAATACAGGCAATCAAAATTCCTTTCCAATCTACGTAGACAAGGTGGTGCCCAAGGGTCTCCGATGGACCCCGCTTGCCTCCAGATCTACTAGGAAACTCATTTTAACTTCAGTTAAAAGTGCCTAATTTGTTTAATATTGAAATGTGCTCCAGAACTTCGCTTGTGCTTCTGGTGGATCAACTGTTGCTTCAAAAGTGACTTCTGCTTAAGAATCTGCTTTAAGAGTATCATCAGACACAGAAAATACGGGATTTATTTTTTTTTTCTCAGGAAGCTGACAGCTGGGAAATTATAGAAGGGCTGAAAATAGGCCAAACCAATGTCCAGAAACCAGATAAACATGAAGGCTTTATGCTGAAGAAAAGAAAATGGCCTTTAAAAGGCTGGCACAAGGTAACAATTTTATCAGATTCAAGTTCTCATCATCTTCATAAAGAGGATCTTACTTGTTATTAGGTGGGAAGCCGAGACTGTGTTGTATGTCTAAAACTAATTTTCAAAACCTTATGTTAACCATATGAGTTGCAGTCTCTTATACCTATGTGAGTCTTTGGTCTGTAATATATGTATATAGGGAACAGTATTTTATGTGATATTTAAAACTCAGATTATGCATATTGTTGTCTAACCTGCTTTAGTGTAGGTATGTTCTCATTTTTATAAGTATAAGATTTTTAAAAATGTATGCATGTATTCCATTTGATGGATTTATATGGTATATGCCACTATTATTAAACCAATTTCTTATTGCTGGGTATGTAAAACTTGTCTAATTTTTTGCTCTTATGATGTTCTAATGAACATATTTATAATTGAATATTAATTAGTTCCTTGGGATAAATTCTTATAGTTATCAAGACAAACTAAATTTGGAAGATAGCTGATACTGCAGGTTTGTTTACTGCCCTTTATAGCTTATTCTCTCCCCTTACAGCATCCTGCTAGCTCCCAGTTTTAATTAGGGATGAAATAGTTTTGCTACATTACCATAATTACCTGAGTAGCAAGAATTTTGTATTGCTAGCTGGGTACAGTGGTACCCACCTGTAGTCCTAGTTCTATAGGAGGTTCATTGGGAAGAATCACTTGAGCTCAAAAGTTCCTGGACAAGAATGAAACCCTGCCTTTAAAAAAAAAAATCTGTGATGCTCAGAAGTTTCTCTTCCCTTTTCAATATAAGCTTTTTGGGGCACCACCCAGTGTCATCTGCAACATCACTGGAAGAGTAAATCTACCTACTTGCCACCTCTACCAGTGGATTTCATCTCCCAAATGATTTGTCAGCCCAAATGGTCCAGTGGTGGCTGACAGTGGCTCAAAGCAGGAAGGTTATAGATTATAACTTCCTTGAAGAAACATATTTTGTGCACTTTAAGAGAAAGACTTAAAAATGAACAGATCTAAAATGTGGCTCCAACTTCTTGTCCCAAAGGTGGAATGAAAACAGGCTTGTCTGTTGTTCAGCACTGTCTTCCCTTAACTTACGTTATCCCTAGTGCCAGGGATACCCCACACCTTTCTTCTGCCTTGAATTTGGCCAACTGTTGATCCTTCCTGGGATCACCTTTGCCTTGGATTCTGACTTGTGTTTCCCCTTGCTAAGCAGGTTCTCCTTGCTAAAATTCTGTGATAGATAGAAGGAAAAGATGGTCAAAGGAAACACATTTTATATGAATCCCCAGCTTTAATTTATCACTCAGTCCATTTTTCAGCAAAACCGGCTGTGGTTTGACCCAAGTTTCTGGACTATGCCTTCGAACATCTTGCTGCTTAAAAAGTGGGAGGGCCGAAAATCTCCCTTCCACAGCTAAAGACTACAAGGAACTGAGCAAAAGAGAAAAAAGAAAATGCTGTGAGACAGTGGGAGACAGGGAAGAGAACCGGTGTGGAGAGCAAGCTAAGCAACAGAGAGACCTGTAAGACTCAGAACATAGTTGCTCCCACCATGACTGCACCAGAAATAGAAAAGAGACAGCCTAATAGTCCAAGAAATTAATTTTGGTAGCTGCTTGAATACATATTAAATTTCACAAAGCCATCTTTGCCTCTGTAAATGAATAGGATTTGAACTAAGTACAGAACCAAGTTGTTTTGCTCTGGATAAAAAGCGAGTGATGCCAGAAATTACATTGTGAGTTTAATTTGGTGTACATCTGGTGAACATGAACACACCTAAAGCAAATCAAAAGTCATGAGAAAATCACTAGGATAATCCAACACCTCAAGATCAGAAGTCTTGATCACACTGTGTCAACAATAAGCTGTTAATTTTAATTTAGAATATTATACTTTTTGAAAAATTCTTCTGAAAAAAACCAGCATTTAATGAAACAATAGTTTGATTATGACACCTACTAAGTAAACTTTTACCAAATTCTAGGCATTCCATAAAATCCGTGATACTATGAAATTAATAGAATTCTCAATTTTATGTAAATGAGTAGAAAAATATTCTTGGTAAAAAAAAAAAAATGGGAGGGCCTCCCTCACACTGCCTGTTCTCCTGCTGTCCAATTCCACCATATTCAAGCATTAGTCCATTTAGTTGCCCAGGGCATAAGCAATTGAGTCATTGAGTGTTTTTCAATTGAGGAGAGTCTTTCTTTTCATACTTACTTATTGTCCCCCAGAATCTGAAACAAAGGGTTGCCAGTGGCCTTTTATGAGTTCTAGGCAGGGTAGCCTTGAACCTGACCGCCTGCTACCTCAGCAGCCCTGAGTTCCCGAATCACATTAAAACATTTCCACACAGTCATTTTCCAGCAATAAAAAGACTGCTTGCTGCATTGAACTAGAGGAGGGTATTGGACTCCTGTGTGACTGGGACCTGGAAGCTGTTCTCTCCTGAATTGCCCATGAAGGGAAATCAGCAGCAGAGAGAGTTCCTGAGTGTTTGCTGAAAATTGCTACATCCCATTCAAACTGGACCAGAGAGATCCTGGAGCAGATGAAATTGCCACACACACACACACACACACACACACACACACACACACACGCGCGCGCACAAAAAACCTTATTTTTCTTTTTACCCTTAATGCAATTTGGAAATAATTGTTAATCTCTTTTGGAATGCATCCAGGGCTTAATTTTTCATAGGTCCAGACAACTAGCTTCTGTATGCATCGTGAACCTTTTCAGAAATTGTGCATGGTGCAATATCCAGGGGAAATTCAGGAGTTTACCTACAGGGTAAAACTCTCCAATAGACTTGTGTAGAGATCCTTACACAATCTCTTTACCCTAATCCAGATTGTTTTCATTTCTCTCTTTCAAAAACATCCAGCATTAGCCAGGCAGGCGTGGTGGTACATGCCTATAACCCCAGCACTCGGGAGACTGAGGTGGGAGGATTGCAGTAAGTTCAGGGCCAGGCTACATAGTGAGTTCAAGGCCAGCCTGAACTACATAGGGAAATCCTGTCTCAAAAAAAAAAAAAAATTCAGCATGATTCATTTAAAAGATCATAAGGCAGGCCATGAGAGTGCCCCCTTGTTAAGAATAATCATGGTGAAAAAATTCCAACCCCATTAAGTATGTGTTAAAAAGAAAACAACCTTAGTAGGTTAGTAGTATAGACATCAAGCTTTGATATCCTTGCAATTTAATGTAACTGACCATGTCTAGATGCACTAAATTCTATATTAAAATGATCAAACGTGTTGATAATTGCAAAGCAACTTTAGACCCACATTTGCGAATATTTTATGTATTTCAAAGTACAGACAGTAACTAGGGGTGTTTGGTTCTTGCAGCGTTTTTTTGTCCTGGATAATGGAATGCTAAAATATTCAAAGGCACCACTTGATGTAAGTAGCACACAGGATACATTTCAAAGATTGATTTAGAATTCTTCTTGAAGTGAGTAAACACTGTAATTGTACAATCCTTGTGCATGGTTGCCAGTTTTGTGCATGTCTGTGTTTGTAATATTTAACAAGTTACCAAACCTGCATGTTCCAGAGAGAGTTTTATGCTTATACTTGAGATAGCATAAAACCTCAAACTAGTGTATGAAGATTTAACTTAACTATTTTGATATACGTTATTAAAAACAGAAGCTTAAACCTAAAAGTGACATATTGACAAATCACTCTTTGGAGAGAAAATACAAATATCCTTTATTTTTAATCTCTCAGTAAACTCTTCTTTATGTGCTTTTTTGAGATGTAGGGCAATCTTTGTTCTTGTTGCTATCCTCTTATAAACTATCTTTCAAACTTCACTTCTATTTCATACATACTTTTATCTTGGGAATCCCAACTCACTAGCATTACTTCAAATTATTTTTAATATTTAAATAGTACTTGCATGAAAAATGAGGAAAATCCCCCTGCTTGACATTGTGCTGTAGGGGAAATAACTGAAGGCTCAGATTGCAGTTTGTCCCCATCTCTGCCACTGAATCAGCTATGCCCTTGGTTTGAAGGGGGCACCCGGGAGGAGGAGCCATCTGCTCCATGCTCCCAGCTCGCAGCTGCCCAGTTCTGCCCTAGCAGCTGTTTCCAGCTGACTTTTCAGGGATGCTCTGGGTCATAGGTTGAGAGTTGACCACAGTTATTTTAGGAAAAACTAAAAATAGCTTTCTGAGGGGATATAAGCTATACAATCTAGAATTACAGTTGACTAGGTTATGCCAAAAACAAGAACAAGATGAATAGGATTACTTATTGAAATTACTGAGAAGTCACAGCAAGTTCAACTGTCCTCAGTTTAAGAACCATTGACTTCAGAACCTTACCCATTTTCTCTTTATTAAAGAGGTACACCCCCTCGCCACTCCTTTTCCGTAGATAAATTTAAAACTTCAGCCTCACTGAAGTTCAGTATGGAAACACATCAGACCAGGTATCCTTCTAGTTTACTAGTCTTTTGATTTCAGATTCAGAAGGGGAAGGTCCATGGAAGCATAGATGTCGGACTGTCCGTCATGTCAATTAAAAAGAAAGCTCGGAGGATAGACCTTGACACGGAGGAGCACATCTATCATTTGAAGGTGAAATCGTATTTCAACAGTTTCTGTGGCATTAGCAGGGGGAATAATTTGCCTGCACCGGTGGTGGATAGGAGACTGGTTTCATAGCCCCCTGCTCCTCTTGCTCGTGGTTTCAGGTGAAATCTCAGGACTGGTTTGATGCCTGGGTCTCCAAACTGCGCCATCATCGCTTGTACCGGCAGAATGAAATTGTGAGATCACCGAGAGATGCGAGTTTTCACATATTTCCTGCAACCTCCACCGCTGAGTCCTCCCCAGCTGCTAATGTTTCTGTTGTGGATGGAAAGGTATGTTGGTTTATAAAAATCAGCCTGGAAAATGCTTAGAAAGTTATGGAACTGCATCACTGTGTCGTCTCACTAGAAAACGCTAGAAGTACAAGTTTTGCTTTGTGAATTGACACTCAGAAGACAACAGTGACATTGAGATCAAAGATAATCACAACTGTAGATTAGGCAGAAATGTGGATCACCAAGTGTATTAACAGTTATTTCTCCTTTCTGATGAACAGACTAGCTCCTGTTTTTCTGTGGCTTTGTAGAAATATTGAGAAGAGAGCAAACACTTGTTTAAACAACACTCAGAAATCAAGTGACTTCCTGGGTGGTAATAAGACAACCCTGGTTGTAAAAGTAAAACTTGCCTTCTTGCCTTGAGCTGTCACAACATACATGACCCAGAGAGAGATTAGTAAACTCCTTCATGAAGTTAATGCAAGTAAGACAGAGAATGTGACAGTAACATAAGTAGTAACCTATTTCGGTCACCAGGTACTGTGTTAAGCATTTGACTTTAATCCATCTCTAATCTTTCATACTGCCAAAATTCAGAGATAGTAAAGAATTTGAATTGGAAAGCTGGGAGTGCTGGCACGCACACACCTGTAATTCCAGCATGTGGGGAGGCTGATGGAGGAGGAATGCAAGTTCAAGCCCAGCATGGACAATTTAGTGGCTTAGCAAGAGTCTGCCTCCAAATAAAAAAGTTTTAAAAAGGGGGACTGAGGATGTAACTCAGTGCAAAAGCCCCAAGTTCAACCCCTAGTAGTGCAAAGAAAAATAATTATTTGTCCACAAGTGGCATAGCCATTCCAGGGTCAGACCCCACATCTCTGTTTCCAAATCAGTGCCCTTTCCATTGTACTAGATGCCTCATAGACAAAGGAGGCCAGAATTGTTCTTTGGATTGTAGTAAGAGTTAGTTTTCAGTGAAGCTAAGAAATTATAGGTGTTGCCTTTTCTAAAATCAAGGTTAAGACAACAGGCAGAGAGGCAGCTGTTTCTGCCTTTGATTCAATAATTAGGTTTCTGAAATGTAGCAACATTGCAGGGCCCAAGGGTGCTGCAGCTTCATGCTTGGCACCTGAAATTGAGGACAGAGACAGCTGCCTGAGGATTGGGTTCAAGGATGTTTCCATGGAGATTCCACGCTTTCTTCCAGAGGCGTGCATATAGTACACAGAATCAGGTTTCCCTTGCATACTGTTATGAAATTTCATGGAGAAACTGCAAGACTAACCAAATCAGAGTCAATGAAACATTAGTATTGTCAAATTTTTGTTATTTTAATGGAAATCACCAACATCATTTTTCTTAAATCTCATTAATTGTATTTCACAAGGCTCTCAGACCTTTCATTATTTCATTCTGGTTGTGTCCTTGCTAAGGACTGTTTAATTATCTTTCTCCTTGAAATCAGATGTGGGGTTAACCCTAATATCAGCCAGTTCTGAAATAAAAGGAATCAAATCAGGAAGTCAGGGGACTAGGAAGTCTGGGAGTTTATAGATTCCAAGTTAGTCCCTAAGTTTCTCTAGGCTTCCCAGTGTTAGTCCAAATAAAATGAAAAGTGTATTCCAAGTGGATCTTTTAAAAATATAAAAATTTAATTCTTTGATTCTTCCAATTTCTGCTTGCATCTTTGGCACAAGGTATTGACAAAAGTTACATTACTTCGTCCCTCACCTTATTTATTAAATAACTTGGGTGATATTTGAGAATCATGGGCTAAAATTAAATCCTCCCCTACACTTTGCCTTGGAATAAAAAAAGTTCTTCAACTGTGATTTTTCACAGAAGCTCTGTTTTTGTAGTTGCAAATGGCATATCGATAAGATCTAACTCAGTGAAAGATTTCCATTAGGTTTATTAAAATGCAATAAAGATTTAGAAGAGCTTTTTATCATTTTTCTTTCCTTCTACATGTCAAATTATGGGGCTCCTAACTGTTAATTGGTTTGTGACCCTGTGTGGGTAATAAATAAGTCTGGGTTTGCTAAGTGTGTGCATCAGTCATTTCATAATGATTTAGAAGAGATGCAACCAGTTGTAATTGAATATTGAAACCAAATATGGAATTTTATGTTATTTCAGCTTCTTGGGAAACAAATTTCTGCTTATTTCACTGAGTGTTTATTCCACTCATCCAAGTATACACCTGCACACTTCACACAGCTTTATTTCACTTAGAATCCCTTCAATGGAAAATTAATTAGCTATAGATAATAGCTTGGCAAACCACCTTTTTATATAATTTTCAATATGTATTTGAAGCATAAGGGTGCATATTGGTGGATAGTGGATTTGGGAATCACTTGTGGTTGATAAGACCTTGAGCTGATCAGTGGAGCACAGAGACCTTTTGGAAAGGAAAGGCCTTAAGTTATGAGTTCTACAATAAAGCCATGTGTAGTGGCACACACCTGTAACCTCGGCACTCTGGAAGCTGAGGCAGGAGGGTCACATAGTTTGAACCCAGCCAAGTCAACTTAGTGACTTAGTGAGACCCAGTCTCCAAATTAAAAAAAAAAAAAAATTGAAGAATAGGGCTGGTTATGTAGTTAAGTTCAAAGGCCATGGATTCAATCTCCAGTATCAAAAATAAATAAATAAATAAGGACAATTGGGACAATTGGGACACTGCAATATGGACACTGTATTAAATACAAATTAACTGAGTACTTAAAATTATCAGGAATTTGAGTTGGTATATGAGATACAGCATACTTGAATGTTATCCCCTTCCTTGAATGTTGGATCTGGCAACTTAATAAGAGTGCTGTTGGGCCAGGTTCCAGCTCAGTGGTTCCAGCACTTGCCTTGCAAGTGCAAGGTCCTGAGTTTGATCCCTGGTACCAAAAAAGTAAATAAATAAATAAGAGTGCTGTTATTATGAATCTTGTCTTCACTGAACACTTACCACCACATTTAGCAAGGAGGTTTCCTCTATTTTGCATGTGCTCTTTATTATTTTCTTTAAAAAAAATGTTGCTTTGAGGACACTGGTATTTTTTAGCAGCCATTTAAAGGCACCATTTCTGCCGCATGTGACCATCCCCTTGGGTTCTCGTTTGTGTTCACTGTAGGTGCACCCCAACAGCTTTCCATGGCAGTCCCCGCTGCCGTGCAGCAACAGCCTCCCTGCGACCTGTACGACTGGCCAGAGCAAAGTGGCAGCCTGGCTGCAGGACTCAGAGGAAATGGACAGGTGTGCAGAAGGTTAGTTCTTGCCATGGAGCCTAAACCAATCAGAACAAAAAATAAGAACCACTGTGGTGAATGGTGGGTACTGCATCCTGCCTGACCCCTTTCATAGACTTCATCTGTCCTTATTTTTCCACACTAGATCCTTCTAAAACTCAGGAGTGAATCTGACTTTGCCCTTACCTTGATTGCCACTCACCTTGGCCTTCTTTCCTGTCTCTACCTTGGGACTTCCTAAGTGCCCCACACCAGGAGATGCCCCACCTATGCTCCTGGCTCTGTTCTGCTCTGCTTTCCAGACCATTTCCACAGCCTTCATTTCCTTCTCAGCTGCTCTGTTTTGCCCACGGAACAGGTGTGCGTCTCCTGGCAACCCAACCCTAGTGGCAGAATTCTAAGATGCTGCTTCCTATGTCCATAGTTACCCACGAGTGGTGTCTCCCTGTGCATCTGAACTAACACACAGTTCCCTCACTCTGCCCTCCCAGAGCTGCTTAATCTCCTCTTCCTTTCTCCTCCCATCTGGTCAGCCAGACCACCTTCATCCAGACATGGTCCACAGACCATTTCCATTCTAAGAGACAATTTCCATTTGATGTTCAAAACTGAGAAAAATGAGGGCAATGTAAAAAGTACCTAATAAGGCTCAGTTGATTTAAATTTTGTAACGATCTTGAAATGATGCTGGGATTAATTAAAATAGTTTTCTTTTATGAAATTATAATAAAAATAGACATTGCTAGATAATTTATTGATGTTTTCTCTGAGAAAAATTAAAATTTGGCAATCTGTTAGTCCACCAACCAAAAAGGGTATGTTTTCACTCCACCAGTGTGTGAACTTGAAGTCTACGGACTATTTTTTTTACAGTACTGGGGCACTCGTAGGGTCTTTGCACTGAGCTATATCCCCAGCCCTTTTTAAATGTTTATTTGGAGAGAGGTACTTAGTAATTTGCTAAATTGCCCGGGCTGAGCTTGAACCTGTGATGCTCCTGCCCCTAGCTCCCACAATGCTGGGATTACAGGTGTGCCCTGTCGCAACCTGCTCACATCTACAGCATTTTTATCAGCCCCCAGATACCCACCTCCCAAACTCAACCGTTATTTGAAAATGTGATTTAAGAGGGATTTTATATTGTAATCACATCGAGTTGATAGTCTATTAAGATTCTCCAGGATGAGTTCACTGACAGACTTAGTTTGAGTCCAGTAATTTCAGGTTTGGGAAAGAAACCAGGCTGCACATTCTGAGGACTCTGTAAGTCCAGCAGCGGTGATTCCCAGGTTTCCTGTGGAAAAGTCAGAGAAGGTCACTCCCTCAGCCAAGTTCACATGGCTACTAAAATGGAGCTGGGATTCGATCTCAGGCACTCTGACTCCCAGGGCGGGTGTTTGAAGTTGGTGTCCCGCTCCCTTGTCAGCTGCGTTTCCCAGCTCGGGTTGCCTGTGATCCTCCTCCCTGCTCATCCAGCCCAGACAGAGTCCTGCCTGTCTTTTCGTTGAAAACTCCCCTCCCCCTCCCCCTTGCTTGCCTTGCACTGAATTCCATTCCTGCCTTTCCACTCGGCCCACCACTCTCCTTGCCTCTGGGTGTCACACTGCCTTCTCATGGTTCTTTCCACCTCGGTCTCTTGCTCTGCTGCCTCATCCTGCTCAGAGGCTCATGTGAAATTACTATTCTTGAACCTGTTTGCAGGCCCTAGACTGGCACTTAACAGACAGGCATCACTGTGTTGCATTTCAGCCACAAAGCACAGGTATTGCTACTGTGCCCACTTGTGGATGAGGAAACTGAAATGCATAGAGATGAAGGTTTGCCCAAGATTATACACCCGTCCTGGTGGAGAGATTGGGATTCCAGCCAACTCACATTTGACTAACCCCCAAGCTAGTTTTTTGTCTGCTGCTTAATACTCCCTCAAGACTATTTGTTCTTAAAGTAATTTTAATGCAAAAATGTCTCCATTGGCTCTGGAAGCTTTCACACAAACTGCTTACCCAAGATTTAGCAACCCATGCTTTGAGATTCCAGGCCCACATACCCTTTCAGCCTTGTCTTCTGAAGACTCAGCCAAGCTTCGCTATCTCATGAACTTATTTGTATATTCCCACCTGCAGGCCTTTGTATAGGTTGCTCTCCCCAACTTGTAGTGCCGTCTCTGCCCTTCCTCACCTTCCTGTCTTATTGAAACCTTTTCATTAATCTTCCAGACCCAGGACATAGACCATTTTTTCTATGTCTTCTCTGATGACCCCAACTCAGTAGTAACATTCCTTTTCAAATCTGTTACTGCAATTTAAAAATAATCTATACTGGTTACTTATCATAGAGTCCCTATTATTGCATCTCAAAAATATGAACATTTCTTGATTATTTCATTAGATGCTTATTTCACTATCTACATTTCAAAAGATGCAGCACCTTACTGAACACATTATATATCTGATTTATATAGTTCTAATACTGAAAGTAGCAGGCTATTCATAGATCAGCCCAGACTTTAAATATATAAGGAAATTTCTTAAGTCTTGGAGCACATTTTTCCCATAGATATAAAATGTTGTATTAGTTTAATGCCTCTAGTAGATTTTAAAGGGATCATTCATTGCAATATTATTAATGAGCTAAATTATGAATATGTTTAACTGATTTTGTATTCCACTATGTGTGCATGTATTATTAGAGATTGATTGAACCCAGCACCTTTACACTGAGCTATATCTCCATCCTTTTTTAAATGTTTTATTTTGGGGAAAGGATCTCCCTAAGTCACTGAGCTGGCCAGGCTGGGTTCAGACTTGCTATCCTCCTGCCCCAGTCTACCAGAATGCTGGGATTACAGTCATGCACTACCTCATTTGCCTTCCCTTCTATTTTTCTGAACCTGACTTTGACTCCACCCAAATTTCAGACAAGCACCTTGTTAACCATTTTAGAGGGACAAGTAGACAAGCCCCTAAGAGACCACAGGATTGCTGAAGTTCCTTTGAGTGTGTTTCCCATGTGACAAAAGCCATCAGAGCAGGAAAATGATCATGTGGTTTGAGTGAGATTTTAATGGCTTCTACACTAAGGATCATTAATTGGTAAGAATGGGCTTTGAAATCATCTGGTTTTATGGTTCTGAACCAGAGAAGGCTCCATTTTGTTGTCTGTTTTGCCTATATTACCATCATATAGACATGGATCTGCCTTATATTTATTGTAATGTGGATTGACTGACTTCCTTTTATTACAGTCGCCACCACCTCCTGCCTAATTCTAGCATGTTTTTATTTCTGATCTTTATTAGATCTTGCACACTGCCAATCAAACCTTGTGGAACTTAGCAAACTCCTGCAAAATTTGGAGATACTTCAGAGAACTCAGTCAGCACCTAACTTTACTGACATGCAGGTAAACCTACTACTGATGGTGGTAAAAAGACCTAGGTATTAACCTTTAATCTTCTATGAATATACAAGGTGACATTTAAAGGGAAATAACTGCAATACCAACTAGTTTGTATTCTGAGGTTATTCTTAATATTTTGAATCTTGGTGTCATTGTGTTAATTAAGATGACTTTTAAAAACTGTTTTACATTTAAATACAGTACACATTGCTGTAGAAATATATATCTAAGTCATTTTTCCATTATTTCTGTTGCCTTAGAAATGACAGTTTGAAGATACAAATTTAGACACTCAGAATTATGACCATCTTTTCATAAAAAAAAATGCTCAAGCTCTCTAATCCTGTTGTTCTTAGTTTGCACTTCAGGAAAATATATTTTATAAGTAAAATATAATTTAGTCTTTATCTCTGCTTTTAATGTGGTGCCTCTCTCTCCTACCTGGTTTGTTTCAAGGTTCTAACATGATTCTATACTAACTTGCTGTGCTCTTTGTCTGCATGTGTATTATCCCTTGAACTTAATAATCTTATTGCTTTTAACTATTTGTGCAATGTAGGCTAACTGTGTAGATATTTCAAAGAAAGACAAGCGAGTCACAAGACGCTGGAGAACAAAAAGTGTCAGCAAAGATACAAAAATACAACTGCAGGTACAGATTTTACTTTTCCTTCCTTGAAGTTTTCATATACTTTTAAAGTATTAGTTTTTGTATATCAGTAAATGGACATTAGATTGAGAGACCAGCTTAACTACTTCAAAGGCAGAGGTTTTCAAACAGTTGAATTGTCTAAAATAGTGGGAAATCTATTCAATTTACCTATGTGAATATAAGTGAAAAGAATTTGAAAGAAGGTTAAAAGTAGATAATATGGCTGCAAAGTAGCATTTTCATTCTCAATTATAGCCTTTGAACCATTAAAACTTATTTCAACAAAAAGTCCCCTTTAAAATGTAGACTAAAATTCTAGTGGGTTGTAATGAACATTCATTTATATACACTGTAATAGATCTTAAAAGGGCCTTTTATGTGTCAACTTTGTCCAAGTTTTTATCAATAAAAAGAATAAAGGAATAACCCACATTTCTGGGTTCTAGTCTAATCACTGTGATTTTCTGGCTATAATTTTATGTACATCTGTTGAAATTTTGGGCCTCCATTTGCCCTTGGGTAAAATGATGGAGTAAATTTGATGATCTCTGAATTCCCTTTCAACTCTAAAACTATGTGATTCTGCAAAATAGATATTCTTTGACCTGTAAAAACCATTTAAAAATCTAAACTCTTAATGACTAGTGATAAATTTCCTTGAAATTTATTTGAAATAAAATTTTGACTTGAAATAAATAATTTTAAATTTTTAAAGGTCCTCTTATGTTACTGCTTTGCAATGAAACAAAATATGCAAATGCCTAAAACTTAAATCGTAAATCATCTTTCAGATCTCTAAGGTGGAATCTCTACTGTTCTAATCTAAGCTGTATATTATAAATAATTCTTGCCTTGTGCAGTTAAAATTAGATGTGATTTGGCTTTTTTTATTGTTCTATAAGTCAATTTATATCCCAATACAAAGGTCAAAAGGAACTGCTTTTCAAATATTTTCTATTTCTTCTGAATAATAACAAAATAATTCTGACTGCTTTAGTAACATTGTGTGCACTGTAATTCTCAAAATGTAAATAACAAACTTACTAATCTGATGTTTTTAAAAATAAATTTTCCTAAGCACTTAAAGATCCATTTTTAATTTAGAATGTTTACATCCTATGAATACAGTTTTTTGTGTTCCTTTATTCAGTGTTTTTGTGTGTTTTCCCTTCTATTCATAAAGTTAATACTGTAGGGACAAATCTGCCAAGTGATTTAACAAGAAAATTACCTAAAATTGCCTTTGGCAGTTTTGTTTTGAGCTTGTGATTAGTGTGTGTGTGTGTGTGTGTGTGTGTGTGTGTGTGTTTAAGCTTGGTATCTATGGGTCTCATAGCCAGAAAAAAAAAGAATCATTTTGTAAATAAAGCAACCATTCTTTTAAATAAAATAATAGAAGAAAACTAGCATCATAAGAACATACGTATTTGTGAACACATATGATTTTGCTGTTTTCGAAAAGTATGCCAATGAACAGATTCACAGCTGTTGTCTTGGGTAGGTTGGTTGTCAGCAAGTTTGAGTGCCACACCCCTTGCTGTCTGCCCTGGCCAGGAAGCCCACCACAACTTCCTTTTTACCCCATTATTTCCAGTGGAAACAGAAACAATACAGTTCTGAATACTCCTCCTAGTCACAGGCTGTGCTTTTAAATACTCAGAGAAGTTACCAAGAATTTTTTGAGTCTTAAGGGAAAAAAATTGTTCAAAAAGCAGGAAAATATGCACCATTTGTACTCAACATCTTTGTGTCCTTTGTTTTAAAATTTTTATTTATACTCTTTTGCTTTATTTTGTTTTGCTAAAGAGTAATGCAATGGCCCTTGCAATTCTTGTGTTGGTATTTTGAGGGAAATGGAAATCATCTCATCCCTCAGCTCAGAGAAACTTTGCCCTTCAAAAGTGAGAGATGTAGTTCCAACTTCATACAGAGATAATAGACCCCAGGGGGCAATAAGCTATTACTCTTAGAGAAAGTCCACCTTCCCTTGGACTTAAAGCATTAGGAAGGCTGAAATGCTATAGAATTTGGTACCATCCTGGACCTTTCTGCTCGCCTGAGCCACCTGATCTTCCAGGAACCCTCAGGATGCTCATTCTCTATGACTGGGAAAGTCTTCTTCCAAGACTCTTCAACATCCATCACTGCTGGGCACCCAGAAGTTCGGCCAGCGATGACTGTGAATATCATCACTCAGAAGTATTTGGACCACAGAAAGGCACAGGATTTCATTTCACTCTACTAGATTGAGCCTAACTCCCACTTCCTCCCCACCATAGTACTCGGATTTTTCCCTCCTATTTTGAGTGCTTTTTGACTGTTGGAATTCCATCTAGTAATGCCAAGTATTGGTTTTAAGCTCATCGTCATCTCACTTACCCTGATGATTGTTTGTTACAACCACCTTGGGAGCCTCTCAGGTTGTGACAGCTCATTTTCCATCCCCTCTGTTGTGTGCACGTTTTAGTTCCCGAGCCTCCCAGTGGTCTGCTGCTGGTGGTGGTGGCAGTGGTTAGTACTGATGTTTTGTCTCTGAATTTTGCATTCAACATTCTGTCATAGTTGTCATTTTTAAGTAATTATAAAGTAGATCATTTTAAAGACTGGCTTAGGACAGTAAAAATGAAGATTATGTTATACTGGGTATTTGATAGGTTATTTTTGCATAGGTTTGATCATGTCCTTGGCTCATATGGGATGGTTACCTTCTGGACCTGAATGGCTTTATTTCTACTAGATGCCATTGGGCCATTGGCCTCAGGAGTCTATTGTGTAACTCATGAAGTCAACATTTACCCTGAAATGTTCTGTGGGATTACCTTTTAGAAAATAGACTTCCTACCTCCTAAACTTTAAATTTTCTGGTTCTATTAGTAATCTTAATATCAGTACGCAGTAACAATTTGGCTGTGTTACAAGGCAGAGAAGGCAAGAAGGGTATGATTTTAAAGGTGTGCCATAGAAGAAAACACTGCTAGATTTCCTGTGTTGCTGATAGCATGAATGAAATACTCTATTCCTAAATATTGGAGGAAGTGGTAAAACTGAGTTCTTCCTTTTACTACATTGAGTATAAAGGGATTTTGTGGAGAACAGATTGCATGTGTGAATGTGTATGTGTGACATACATGTATATAGATTTGTGAAGATGGAAGAGAACTATGAAAGATTTGGAAAATTTAAAGAGAATCGGATATATAAAAATTTACAATATTTTTCTGTCATTCTAAATGGAGGAAAGTGCTCATGCTGTTTTTCAATGTGAATTGTTAGGTTATTCTAATACAGTGCCTCTTAGTTGGCAATGAAATTCTTGTTCACAACCTTGAAGACTCAGTGTTTGTCGGGTGGAATAAAGTAGTTAGAAAAAAAATAAGTCCCTTAAACCCACCCACTAAAAAGAAGAAGAAAATGAGAGAGAGCTCTAAGATTCTTCTGTTGGTTTATGCAGAGGTTCACATCACTAGGTGAAACCTTTGCTTTTGGTTTTTCATAACTAATTTTTGGGGGCATTATCTCCACATACTGAGAAACTTGAGATTTTTTTTTTCCTATCCTATACTGACTTCCTCCTTGAAAAATTCTTCAACTTGAAGATGCCAGCACTCTTTCTAATACTGAATCCTAGTGAAGAAGCTTTATGGTAGGGGATTAATTGGGAAGTTGGAGAATCCTAGTATCCTTATTTTTTTCCCTGTAAGAAATAAAAAATGTTTTAAAAATTCTGCCTGGCCAATAGCAAGCTCTCATTACAACTGTTCAGTTTAGCATTTTTACATTATGGAATCAATTTAAAAATCAGTTTTTAAAAAAACGTGGGGTTTTTTTTTGCTGTCATTTATTGAATGCCTTTTGACTTCATGTAATATGACATCACATGAATAAAACAGTATGCACATTTATTTTACCTGAAAATCACAGAGTATTACTCATCAGCTCATAACTCGCCTCTTCCTTTCGGAGTAGGGCCTGTGTTCGCAAAGAGACTCACACAGGGTTTGAGTGACTTGCGAGGAGAATAATGATCATTTGTCACGGCATGAATGCCCCTTAGAGCTGTCAGTGCTAAGGGTTTTTGTTTTTGATTCTTTAAAGAAAAGTCAACTTCAGTTAAAAACTCTCCCTCTCCCTTGTCTGATTATCTTTCACCCTCCCGCATCCCACCTGCTCCCTCCCCGCCCTTTCTCTTCTCCCATTCACTGTCAGGAAGGGCCACCTGCGAAGGGCCAGTTCAGCACAACCCGGCGCCGGCAGAGGCTAGCAGCAGCAGTGGCTACCACAGTGAGTGGATTTCAATCTCAAGTGGAAGTTTAATAAGAATGAGAATCTGTGTGCGAGGGTAACCTCCGTGCCCACGTTGCCACTCATGCGCAGTGGCATCCGCTGTAGCCACTCCTGTGGGCATCGCTTGCGCATGTTCTCTGGCTGCCTCTGCATAGCAGGAGGCGGACGCGGTGTTCGTTCTGCAGTCAAGAGCTATTACGTGATCCTGTGTTCTACTTCTGCTGTCAGTATGAGAAATGCTTTTTTTTTTTTAAAGATTTAATTGTAGAATAGACAAACTTTATTTGGAGGTACAATGGAGAGAAACCTTAGTGAGTCCTTCTTCAATAAAAAATTTGAATTATAATATCTAATAACACCTAAAGTTAGACAAGCAATAAATGAATGCAAAAGAAGGGATATGATACCGAGAAATCCTTTAAACTCAACTTCAGCTGGACTTTGCAAAACATGTGTACAGTGCCCTATGGTGGGGGTTGTCTTAAATCCTACGGGTTTGGGGGTTTTTTTCTTTCTTTTTTCCATACTGATATTGGAAACTTTGGTGATTTCCTTTGCTGAAAAGTTATGTTACTACAGACATAAATTATGGGGGGTTTTTTTTGTAGCAATGTGACTATTTGAAAAGGATGTGAGAAAGAAATGAGAGGCTAAGAAAAGGTGAATTTTGATGTCATCTCTAAATGGCTACCCAAATTACACTGAGCAAGGGAAAATTGTTTTCTGGAAAGAATTCTGACATGAAAATGTAGTGTAGGAAAGAAGAAACAGAGTAAGAGACTATTTAATCCATTTCTAGGGGGATCTTCGTTAAGAGAAAATAGAATGGATATAAGGAGAATAGAGAACATATTGAGGTAGATTGCAAAGAATGGTGAATATTCATATAGAATATATAATAGAATATCTAAACACAAGAACCCTTTGCTAAGTAGGGTGTGGTAGTGCTACTTCTAGCTACCTGGAAGACCCAAAGCAGGAGGTTCAAGGCCTATCTGGGCAAAAAAAAAGCAAATTTGCTGAATAAAAGTAAATCACATAGTTATGCATTTGCTTAATCATGAAAGTCTGTGAACTTCTAAAATTATATATTATTGTTGTTGGAGATGTAGCTCAGGGGTAAAGCATTTACCCAGCATGCCTGAGGCCTGCAGTCTCCATCACCACTTTTTAAAAATATACAGAATATTGAGTTCATAGCAATTATGAGTATTGGGTTTTTGGCTATTACATATTTCCTAAATGAATAATAGTCTTGCTCTTGATAGAGGTGGGATAAATTGTAAGAGTACAATTGCTGAAAAATGAAAGCTTTTGGTTGCATTCTAGGAAAATGGCTACTGGTATGAAAATTATTAGCGTTGTACTTTATGGTTAGTAATTGTCTCTGGCTTTGTATCTAGGTGTTTACTGTGATTGTTTGAGAAACAGAATTGTTTTTGATTATGGAGACAACCAGTGACTTGGAATTTATTAGGGAATTGATTCTTAAATTTGGTTTTGTGAACATTTGAACCAGTAAATTATTGAAATTGCTTTCATGGACAATGTATACCTTATATATGTTTTCAGATGCAGATGAATAAATCTGTGGCAGTGATGTGTTGATAAATTCTGACAGATACATGTACAGTCAGTTAAATAATTCTTAAATGTAATTTTCATTTATAAAATTTAGAAGTCCAAATGATTATGAGAAAGAGAACAACATCACAGTGCGGGAAAGAAAGATCATTCATTTTATGAAAACACTGTTTCCTTAAATAATGTACTCTTAAAATAGCCGGGAAGTAATTGTCTTTTTCTTATGTTAATTTTTAAAATTACAAATACATACAGTGAATGTAATAAAACTGGGATTAGCACCTATTGGAATAGAATAAGTTTATCTTTTTTAAATGGAGGGTAGAAAAGTTTAAAGAAAAAATCATTAACACCCATATCCCAATGTAGCTATGACTGGAAAAAATTATAAATATAACTAAGAAGTATCTAATGAGAAAAGGCACTGGTAATATTTAGTAATGTTTTCAGGAGTAAATCAGGGAGCGGCCACTCTGAGCCCTCTAGGATCTGTAGCTTTGAACTCTCTACCACAACAGCAGCATTGAGCAGGGCCCTCAGTTGGATCCTGAGGCCCCTCTCCCTCATACCAGGGACCTGATGCTGATGACTCCGCCCATATTTCTATGGCAGGAGTTCCCCTTAATTCCTACTCTGATTCGATGACTTTGACTCTGAGCCTCTCTTACCCTGCTAGAAGCCTTTTAGCTAGAATCCTTCCAAATGATTCCTAGTCACTTATTTCCTCACTCACTCTGGTATCTGTGGCAAATGAGATTGTGCCAAAGAAAGATATACCCAAGGAGATGTTTCCAGTATTTATTCTTGTTGATCCTTAACACTAGCACTCAGAATGGCCACCTCACAGCATCAGCCAAATCCACAAAACAGGAGCTTGGCAACAAACTCCAGTCCCTCCCCCGCCTCGCAAGAGCCCTGAGAATCCCAGAGCAGCCAGTGCCTCTAAAGGGACCCCAGTGCACATAACAAGGATGACAGGAGCAGGGGACTTTTCCCACAGGCTCAAAAAGAACTATAAGCTTAGGATCTATCTTAGACCTCTGTATGTGCTTTCATGTTTACCATTGCTAAATTTCAGAGCCAACAGTTCTAGTCTCGATTTACTTGTCTTTTCAATTCTTCATAGGCAAATGTTAAGAGCATCTCCTAACTTACTTTCTCTAAACCACAGTTAATGGTCCCAGAGTATACTAGGATCAAGTTTCCTCTTCAGTCATAGGATTTCAAGGAAGACTTGGATTTATTTCCTAAGCAAGATTAAAGGCCCAAATCCAGCAAGAAGGGTTCCCAGGTATAAACCTGGAAAGCTGTTGGCAGCTCCCACTACAATCACCAACAGAGAACCTAGCTACCATTTAAATTATTAATTGGGTAATATCCAAATTGATGAATGAAAACCTGAGTGAATAAGTCCTCAGGCTGAAGAGATACTCAATTAGGTAGATTAATATGTCCCAATTTGTAGTCTCAATTCAATTTCTTGAATTTTTCAATTAAAATGACCCATTCAGCACATAAGAAAAGTATCAATATTAACATCTTCAGTCAGAAGTATATAAAAATTAGTTTTCAATTTCCCAGGGAACTAATTGCAATTCGAATGGAGCATTCCAAGTCTCTGTGAGTAATATACAAAACCACTTTTACTGTTTCATTATCCAGTTTAAGCCTCCATTATGTTCAACATAGAAATTTGTAACTTACATATTTCTTCTCAGCATCTGAGTCCCACATTTAAGAGAGGGGCCATTATCCTGGGGTCAGGAGGGGTCCTCACTGGACTCTCTGGGTTTTCACTACACGGCCCCTCTGCAGCCTCTCCTCGGCCCTCACGACCCTCACAAACCCACACGGAACAGACTCTCAAGCCAGCTGCAGCCTGGGCATGTTGAGGACTCCTCAGTGCATGTGAAATCCTTTTCCATGATTCTCAACACATGTGTCCCTCCGCCAAATACTCACTTCCTTTTTCCTAATGTTGGTTCTTCTGTGGTTCTTTGTATCGGGAAGTCGTGTCCTTAAGTCTGAAAAATCCCTGATTTGCCCACGTCTGACTCTCACTCCCACCATGACCCCCTAATCTCCAATCACCTTTCCATGCCTTCTCCATTTCCCTCCTGTAGGGATATGGGCTGACTGCGCTTTCTAGATTTAGCATCTCTACAGTTAAATTTCCTCTGTCTCTCTTCAGACATTGTTCCACCTAAGTCACATTCCATTTTCTCAAATAACTTACTGCCACTTCTGTTTCAAATCTAGAAGGGAAGAAGTTTTGAGCCTGATAAGATAATGAAGCTATTGATATCTTCCAGCCAGGGATAGCCAGGGCTCTCATGGAGGAGAGAGTAGAGTGCTGATAATTCCAGATACCGAGTGCTTTGGACAGTACATGTTAACATGCTCAGCTGAATTTAGGGGGGGGAAACATCATGCTCACTTCTTCCCCAGTAAGCCTTGGAAATATTTTGAGATAAATAACTATCTGCCAGGACAGAGTTATATCAAAAGGGCCTTTGTCTAGGTTCAGGTGCTCTTCAGTTGTATCTAAGGCTAAATATTTTAGTTCTTTCTACCTCCTCTGTCTCCTTAGAAAGAGACACCCAATTCCCATCACACTCACCAAATGTTAGGAAGCTTAAAACAAAAAATAAAAATAAAATAAAAAGTGTTTCATATATATATGACCAAACAAGGTATTGTTTCCTTCCTCCTAAGCCTATTTCCTGTTATATGGGGAATGGGAATTATCCTTTCAATTATTCAAAACTTAGCTTTGGGTGGAGTCTGGAATGTGGTTCCTGAGGATGACTGAATGAACATCTATCCAGTCACAGTTAGGGAAAAGTTACTGGTGATCTGACTTGCTAGAAGAATCAGTATTTCATTTTTCTATGAATGATTGGCCAACAGCATTTGTAATGCTCACATAGAACTTTCTTGAAGAGGAAGGGAGGAAAAGATGCTTTTCCACCATCCATCACAGGCCTAGTCCAGACCCAGCTTTGGACCAGGAAGTACCTCTAGCCATTTTCTACATTTTGCTTTTCACTACTGGCCAGTTCATAAGCCATGTACATACATATAACAGAGTGGTACGTCATATAGAAAGGTAAATCACAGTGATTTATATAATATATCTTCCATGTACTAATATATATTTTAGTAAATTTATTTCCAAAATAATTGTGTTTAAGCCATTCTTTTATTTCCTGTTGAGCTTGATTTACATTTTGTCTAATGGCTAGGGAGCAAGAAAATCTTTCCATATACACATCTCTCACATTTTTACATATGTAGTCAGATCCTGCTCCGGTCTCAGAGAGATGTGAGCATAACACAGTCCTCTACCACAAGTGCTCCTGCTTTGTAAGTAGTCACCGATATCACAGTTCAGACTACAGCTTTCAGCCAGTGATTTTTTTATATACAAGTGTGGATTCAGAGTGGAAGTGAATTACACCTTTTCTTTCTGTCATCCTATAGTCATCTCTCTGTAACAGAGAAAAACCAGTGATTCTGTGACAGTCTAAGTCAACTATGGGAAATGAGACTTCCCAGCCCAGCTAGCTGCAAAATAAATGAGTACTGAGCCTCCCCTAGCACTTCATCAGGGAGGAATCTATTATTTTAAAGAATAGGAGGGGACTTTTCTGTGTGGGAGAAGGTGGATTGCTGCACTATTGCTCTTTAATAATTTGTATTTCCCCTTTCAGGTCCCTTTCAGTGCCACCATGTCGCCGGTTCGCTTGCATTCCTCCAACCCCAACCTTTGTGCAGATATTGAATTTCAGACTCCCCCTAGCCACCTCACTGACCCTCTGGAAAGTTCAACGGATTACACAAAGCTGCAAGAAGAATTTTGTCTAATTGCACAGAAAGGTAACAGCAAATGCAGTGTGCCCTTTCAAGAAGGCCTCTTCTTTGAGGAGAGAATTGTTTGATAAAAGATGTACTCTTTTGTCTTTGTTTAGGGGATAATGGTAGGAAGATTAAATAGTTTTATGTGCTGATGGAAGTTCTAGACGTAAGATGCTGCAGGACAACGTTCCTGCCTCTTGGGAATTCACAATCACAGGCCTCAGTTTTGACGGAATAAAGTGTCACGGGGTTGGGGAGAGAAGAAAGGATTATCCTAAGGAGTCCAGTTAGGTGCTACCCCTCATCTTTTTATTTTTTTATTTTTTGGTACCGGGGATCAAACTCTGGTCCTTGCGCTTGCACAGCAGGTGGCGAAACCACTGAGCTAAATCCCCGGCCCCCTCATCTTTTTAAAAAAATGTCTTTTTAGTATACATGTATTGCTTATCCTTTGCAAGGAAAATAGATTCTATTTGATTTTTTTTATTATCATTTTAATTGTATTATGAAAAACACGGATAAACTAGCATGCGTTCAGAGGGAATCAACATGAAGCTTATAGATACAGGTTTTATTTCACATAAAAGTGGAGGGCCTGAAGAAATTCAGTCTAGAAAAGGTGATAGCTGCCTTCTAAAAGAAGACACTTACTCCATGCCGCTCCAGAGAACAGAACTAGAACTAACAGATGGAAGTTACAGGTTGGCAGATTTCAGTCCAATATGAAAAAGAAAACAAAAAACTTAGAATCCAAAGAATTGAATTCAAAGAAACTTAATTTCTATTTGGATGAGGTTTTCATATTTTTGATATAAAAATAGCCAACATTTTCTACATATGACAGTTATAAGACAGGAAACGGGAAATTTTCTATGGACAATTCTACTTCCTAAGAAAACATGTCAATAACAAGTTATATTCCTGAGTAAACTCAGAACCCAGAAAAAAATTATATCTAAAACATACATAAGTTCTGCGAAACTCATAGTAAATATTTAAATAACAGGATAAGATTTCACACATCCAGACTACATGTTTAGTTATAAAAATTCAGATAGTTTTGGATTCTTATACATCAGTCTCTTGGTATTTGTGGATGATTGGTTCTAGGACTCCCCAGGGATAACAAGTCCAAGGACACTCAACTCCCTTATATGAAATGGTGTAGTATTTGCATATAACCTACATACATCCTCCAGGATACAGTAAACCATTTCCACATTACTTATAGCCATTATACAATATAAATACTATGTAAATGGTTGTGTTTTGTTCAGGTGATAAGGACATAAAAGGTATACATGTTTAGAACAGATGTATTTTTTTCCGAATATTTTCCATCGTTCCACTTTTCCTTATCCAGTCTATGCCATTTCTTGGTCCATAATACTTGTCCTATACTGGGCTGCAGCCGCTGCCGCCGCCCCGCTGTGGGTGAATCCAAAGTAGTTGCCGGTCACCATTTTGCATCTTCCCCCAGCCGGTTGGGCACATAGGTGAAAGAAACTACAGGGCATATGGGAATCATGGGCTCGGGCTGCTGCTGCTGAACTCTGAACTCTCACCTGCTGCCTCCCTCTGCCCCGCTCCTCCTCAGCAGAGTTCTATTTGATTTTTTAAACAATATTCACGTATTATACTTTACAATTGTTGGGTCAGGAATTCAGGCAGGGCTCAGCTGAGAGCCATGCTTCTGTGTTGTGTTTCATGGACCACGCTCAACCGATGGTGTTTGGCCAGAGGCTGGGCTGAGCTGAAAGACCCAGAGTGATTTCCCTCTTGTGCCTGGTACATATGCAGGACAGCTGAGTGGCTGCCTGTGACTCTGCCCCTCCTCATGTCCCTGACAGTTTGGGCTCCAAGAAGCTGGAGGTGGAAGCAGCTAGTTCTCTTCCAGGCCAGCTCTGGAACTGGCACAGTGTCTCTTCCACTAAACTCTGATGTTGGTCAAAGCATCATGGGCTAGCCCAGATTTGAGGAAATGTGAAATCGGACACACCTTTGTGTCTTTTTTTTTTTTATATTAAGTTTTCAATAAGATTTGTTTTGTAAGTTAGTTGTTATCAGCTCCAGAGAGTAGGGCATAACAAGAAGTGGATGTATAGGACTGAGCAGCCCTGTCTGTGTTGTTCCCAGATCAACTCCTCTCTCGCTGCTGTGGTATGTAACTAACAGCTGGTAAAGTTCATCATTTGACTTAGAGTAGTATCTTCTCGGGTCCCTTAAAATCTCCTGAGAAATGTTGATTGTGTTGTTTCAGTCCATAACACCTTATGGCGAACTAATCATGCATTTCCCCTGGGGCTGCTGGTAATAATTTATAAAATACCCTGAGAATATGTGTTAAATGGCACATCTTATGTGCCCCAGATACTCAGGAGCCTGATGTTTCAGGAAAAGAAGAACCGTAGCTATCCCTGGGAATCTTAAACTCAACAAAACACTTACAACCTCAAACCACAAGCAAAGATGCTTGGCTTCCTAATTAACTTTTCAAAGAGCCTCACCCTCTAAATTAACTCCCTTCTTACTGTGCTACTCCAAATTCCAGATACTGGGTGTTGGAGAGATAATTACATAACACATAGTCAGATATTTAATTCCATGATCCTAAAACAGTTAAGCGAAATCATTTTTGCCCTTTTCTCTGCTTGTCAGTTGATATACTGTGAGGTCAACTCTGCTTCACCTGCCTTTTTACTCCTAGCAAGTGCATTTTTATTGCATTTTTAACTGGATGCTAATTATGTTATTAGGCTACAGTAATAATATTGTTTGCGTAACAGCAGAGATTCACAGTCTGTAATTTTTACTCCTGGGGCGGGGTAGCAGCTGATAGATTAAGACAGCAAATGTGTGAGTTGAGTGTATGGGTACCGCACGGCAGTTGCTGAGAGGTGGACTAATTTGCAGGCAGCCCCAGGAAAGCTTTGTCTGTTTGTTCACAGTCCTAAAGCTTTCAGGAAATCCAAGTTTCAACAGTTTTAAAGCTTCCTTTGAAACCGTTTTCAACAGACACATGTGTCTTCTATGCTAGAAAAATAAAAGGCCTTTCCATGGCTGTTGCGTGTCTGCTTGATGAGCATTATGAGGTTTTAAATGGGTGAGGAGTCTGCTTTTAGAGCCGCCAGCAGGGTTAATGCCTTCCAGCTGTAAGCCATTAGCTTTGCATTGGTGACAGAACATAGACACAAAGGAATAGGTTATTCATCCTTGACCTCTTGCCATTTCCCCCTTTGATCTAGGCCACTATATTTTGGGCTAAATTTTTCTACTTCTTTTAAAAATAACTTTTCCTAAATAGGAAAATACTCGTTTTAGCTCAAAGACTTTGCATGTGATAGAAACTGTTACTGTAAAAAAAAAAAAAAAATACAAGTTAGTTTTTTGTAGTTCAGAATGAAAGCCTGCTTTAGATGCTACCGATGTAAGTTGTGAAGTATGGAGGAAGTGGGGCGAGTGGTGTTGTTTTATTGTTGCTCTTAGACCCAAGCACCTTTGATATCAAGACATTCCTGGCTGAGAAGACAGTTCCAGTACTGTTCTTAAGGCCCAGTCATTTCCTACCTCCAGGGCAACCAGTCAGAACTTCCACATCAGCTGTCTGTTTTGTATTGATAAGATTCATAAAATGCTCATTTTTAGGGTGTATGCTTTTGGGAAATAATTTTTGACTAATTCTAAATGATCTGTGTGACAATTTATGCTACCCAGAACTGCTCAAAATATTATCAAATGTGGCAAGTAAAATATGTTCCTTTTTCAAGGCTTATAAATTAATTTCTACATATTGATATTTAGAATTGATACATCATGTTTCCAAATATTAACTGGCTTGTCTGGAATGAAATACAAAAATACTCACCCTAATTAATTATAATTGCCATATTTGTTTTGTGTATAGATACTGTAGTCCGATAGATTTCATTTTCAGGCTGATTTTTTATTAGACTGCAGCATAGCTTTTCCAGAAAATGTCTAGGTATGATTAAAATTCTGAGGAGTTTATCATATTGTATGTTCTTTCTGGATACATTTAATATTTGATTCTCACTTTTCTGCCCACCCAGTGCATTCTCTCTTGAAGTCTGCATTTAATAGCATAGCTATAGAGAAAGAGAAGCTGAAGCAGATGGTTTCAGAGCAAGATCACAATAAAGGCCAGAGCATGCAGATGGCCCGGCTGCGACAGTCACTGTCTCAGGTAAAGAGTGTTTGCCTTCACGTGTGTAGCATGGTCCCAACTCTGTCAGGCAAAAGCTGGGGTGGAGGCATGAGGCCTGGGGATGGCAGATCCTCTGACACTCTCTGGAGACATTGCAGTGCTGGTACTGAACTTTGTTACCTTTCTTCCCAAAAATGTCAAGGTAAGAGTGAGAATAAACCAAACTTGCTTGAACACATGTAATTGTTATTCTGACAAGTTGAATACATAATGCCTAAAGTAATTTATAAAGTAGCCCTGGTTTTTTTTAAAAAAAGGATTGACACATCTAAAATATATTTCAAAATAATTTCAATCCAGTGGTAAATAGAGCAAAATCTACTAGATCTTCCTCATATAATTTTTTTCCGCTTAGATTTTAATCTGTTGAAAATTAGTAATTACTATAAACTCATTTTTTTTTCTGAATTGAACCCTTGGGATTCTCTTCCTGTCTAAGATGTGTTTCCTGAACCTTGACTTTCATATTTCCATATATATCACATAGTTGATCTTGTTAACACTAATTAAGTCCCTCTGTATATTAAAGTTGAGATTTCTGATCCAAATTCTTTAAAGTTTTGTGTATGCCTTTTTGCACTGAGTATTTCCTCTGAAGGAAACATTTTCTTCAGTTAATCCATAAATGCACTTATTTTAATTCCTTTGAGAATTCAATGTTATTATATGATTTTGTGTGAGAACTGTGTTCATATAAAATATTATTCACTTCCTGATGCCTTGGATCAGAGTGAAGGAGCAAGCAAATCCTGGGTAAGTGGTTCTCCGTGTGGGTCAGATCCTGCCTGAATAGCTGACTTCAGTCCCTGAAAATTGGACGTGAACTGTATTTATGTCTTATGTACTTGAATCGTCAACATACTCTCAGTGTTAAGTTTTGTGTCCTGGATTGCTGCTACCTGGCCATACTTCCTGCGTTCACCGTGGTGCACGCTGCTTCCAGTGCTATGCCGGGGGCTGAGGAGCATGCGCATCCCCCAGCACTGTCCTCCAACCTGCAGAGGGGTTTACTCCTAAGAGCCCTTAAGGTTCCTCCCTGGACTCTTCTCATGTAACATATCTATTCAGCACTCAGCTGGCATTATGAATCATTATTCTGAAAATGTCATGAATCAGAAAAGTCAAAATAATAATCAAATTAACTTGCAGATTATATCTTAGGAACACATAAAATACACTCTTGGTTCCCTAAATGTTGCACTGTTTCCTTAATATGTGTTTAATGATGACAGCTTAGGGATATAAATCAAACATGTAGTAAGGAAAATAAGAAAATTTTTTTCTTACTTGCTGCTTGCTTGCTTTTTTTTTTTGCTTTTTGGTAAGAATCATTGCTAGAGATGTAGGTTTGAGCTTCAGGTGAAATTAGAAGTGATTAAGAAGAGAAATTTAAAAAGTTATTTATTTGTTCATTCCTTTACTACAGTATGTAGCAGGTATTGTGCAAGATACTGGAATACTATGTAGAGAAGCTTGTGATCTGAATGGAAAGATGAGCAGTATTTACCCAGGAGATGTTAAAGAAAGGACCACACTGCAGCATCCACACCAATGCATGGTGGTGCAGACCTCTAAGGCTCCGGTTTTCAGTAGAATAGCAGATCCCTAGCTGAGAGCAGAGCCACAGCTCAGACTTCCAGAGTAGACAGGGATTAGACTATTGCTAATATGATAAAAGTAAAATAAATCAAAATTCTATAAACTTGCATCCTCTGGGTTAAAATATATCCCCCTCTTGTGAAAGCACATTTATTTGCATCTAAAGTCAGAGCCTGGGTAGATTTTTCTTGGGCTCTTTGGGTTTTGTTTGTTTTATTTAGGTGTTTGTAGACAGAGGGCTCAAAACCTGTGAAAGTCCTTTAGCACTATAAAGACTGTTGCAACCTCTCCTCTAGATAATCTGGCACTTAAAAATGTATTGCCACAGGATTTTAGCTGTGTTCACATTTTGCATCCACCCATACCCTTTAACTGGGCCAATCATTCCTTCCCTGGTCATCTTTTCTCACCACTGTGAGGCTGGATTCTATTTCAGAAATCACCACACCCTTTGCTTAGGCATTTAAATTTACTGATAGTTTATTCACTATCCATGATTAGACTACTGGAGTGATGACTGAAGAATGGGGTGAATGAGGAAGTTCCTTTAGGAATAGTTAAGTGGGTAGGAACCAGTTCATCAGGGTGAACAGAAAAGTGTTTGGGTGTATCCTGTTGGTGATGGGGGGACTTGAATTTTAACTGGTTAATGATAATGCTAAATGTTGAAGATATTACTGCATGTTTCTGTGTATTAGAAATATCAGCCTGGCATGTTATGAGGGTGAATGAAATTGAAGCAAAACTAATTGAGCAGACTCATGTATTCAAAATAATTCAAGAATGTGTTAATGATGCTTGAGACAGTATTCCTGAACTAAGGAGATACCAGCATCTGTAGAGGAGAGGAATGGTTTCAGAGACACTGAAGAGGAGCAATTGCTTGGAGATCAGCCAAATGTTAGAGAGTGACAAGGAGACAGAGTCAGGTCCAGGTTTTTTACTTAGATAACTGGATATATGATAGTACTTTCCCCTAAGAAAGGGAACAAGAGGAGCTGGTATGTCAGAAATATATGATGAATGATTTTGTGGATCATCCAGCAGGCAGTGGGCTATATGGATGGTGATGAATCATGTTTCCAGTCTGAATAAAGGAGATTCAGTGGTACTGGTACTGCTTGTTATAGAGAACATTAATATTTTAAGGACAAGCTAAGAAAAAGGATTCTTTGTTGGAGACCCAGGGGAAGCAGACAAGGAATTGAGGAGTGATGATCATTGAGGTCAAGAGTAGAGTTCTGATAGGCTCCAGAAGGAAAAAGTTAACAGCATCTGATTAACAGCAAGTAATATGTGCCCTTAATGTCGACCCTGGAATTTGGCTGTCATCACAGCATGCTTAAGAAGAATGAACCAGGTGAAGATGTTAAGGGTGGGAGACAACTGATGCAACCATCCCATTGGCCTTGGCCAAGTCTTTTTTTTTTTTGGCCAAGTCTACTTTCACTCTCCCTACTTTAATATAGCACTTAAGATTAAACAAATGCTAAATAGCTTGAGTACATGGAGACAGTTGCCTTCCATGCTTTGAGTATTTTTATATTAGTACAACTTCACATTGTAGTGTGATTTCAAGGTGGCCTGGGACATTTTGGTCCACATTCAAGTGTCATCAGTTAAATCCCCAGTTATCTTCTTCATGACCAGATCTTCCCACAGAAAAGGGAGGAAGGAAAGAGATGATATTCAAATAACTTTAACTAGCCTAACATTTTTAAACATATATCTTATTTGACCTAAGTCCTATTTGATAGGTCTCTAATGATCAAAGTGCTGCTTTTCAATGAGGTATTTAAGTATATCTATCAGCTCTGAAAATCCGTCAGCCCTTTAGAAGTCACATGGCAGATAAAACACATGAAATTATCATTCTTCACTACATGTTCAGCATAAATTGTTACCTGCCTTGAGTGAGTAACAATGTGCAGAGTTAGTCAATTAAATGAGTTCCTCTTCTAAAATAATATTACTTCCTCAATCTGTATGTGCACACACATGTATATAATTTTGTTATTTTATCCCCATGAAATTTATAAATTAACTTTCGCACATGAAAGTTATCGGGCTTAAACTTATAGGGCAAAACATTTTATGCAGAATCTATCGCTTTTAGATGACCTTATTACATGTCAGCTATAATTTCATGTCCTGTTTTATGTAGTACCCTGAACATCAGAATCAATACCATAGTATATAAGACTAAGGCGACCTCCGCACCCAGCTCTCCTTGAGTGTACCTCCATGCACAGTATATTACACTATATCACTGTTACTAATTTGATTTCTGGGCCTAGAATTTACATAGCTTGTGCTAAATATAGAGAATCAGGTCCATACAAATGCAAGCAACAAAATACGACCCATCTACTCCAGCTAGAATTACCATGTTTCATTAAATTAATATGCTATCCATTGTTGGGTGCATTATTATTTTGTGCATTACTGACAAAGAAAAAGACCATTACTGTCAATTGAACTGATGCTTTGCTTCAGAGATGCTCAATGTGGGGAGAAATATGGATCTTAGAATCAGTGAAATATTGTGCATATGAGAATGTGAGCAAAAATATTGGACTGCAGCACATAGTGGTATACTTCAAAATCCCAATTGTAGTATCTGTCATTCTTCCTATCCATGCTTTACATGCCCAAAATAAATATCCTGTGATGGGATGGAATTTCCAAATCTATTTATTTGTTTCTGAATGCTACGGTTCCTGAGACTTGCTCAAATTTGTTGTGCAGGAAGATAGTTCTAATAAAATTTTTTAAAGTATCTGTCATGTTTAAGTTGCTGTCATTTTGTCTATAATTTAGCAATATTTAAAAAGCCTTAAAGAATTTTTACCCATTGATCCTGTAGGTTATGTTGCTAGTCTATGTGACTAGTCTAAGGAAGTAATGCTGAATATAGAAAATAATTATGTACATAAATATTCATGCCAGCATTATTTACTTTGCTAAAAATCAGTAACCCCGTTGAGTGTAATAATAGGAAATCATTGCTTATTATGCAACTAAATTATGTTTCTGAAGAGCTCGCAACATAAAAGAAATGCTTATATGCAAAGAGTAAGAGGCAGATACTCGGTGTAAACTGTGTGCCCAGTAAACAATGTGAAAAAATGAATAGAAAACAAGTTAGAAAGAGATAGACCAAACTGCCAATAGTTGAGTGTTAAGAAATTTTTTTAATGTTTTTCTACTTTTTGCATTTTCCAATATAATAGTATTTTTAATTGAAAAAAGAAGCAAAGATGATTTTAAAAGATAACCAGCATTTAGTTTTTGGCAGCTCTGTCTTTGACAGTTTCCACACTTAGTTTCTCATTCATATTGAACCAGTTTTACTTTTATCCAAAGTGTCTGCATCTGTGATGATTCTCTCTTGCAATATGTTTCAAATCTTTCAACTATGAGGCTGCTGTGTTTCCTTCCCAGACCCACAATTCCATTTAGTAAAATGTTTATAACAATCTCAGCCAGTCTAAGGTAAATTCTCATCCATTGTCTGCAGGGTTAATAGCTACATAAGTAGGGACTTAGGTACTTGATTCTGGCCCAGAACTTCAAAAGGCAGCTTCTTTTCTACAGTGAGAAGGAATTGTATGATTCTTGGATATATTTGACTTGTATGTGAAGGACACAGCCATGGGCAAATGAGCTGCCATGCGGAGTTTTTGGTGCAGTACAAGCTCACTTAAGTAGTGAGCATATGTATAAAACCTGCTTAGCAAAGACTTTAGAGATAGTTCCTAGCTCCCAGGAGCTCCCTCCTTGTCAGGCTTTGGTCCTACAGCCACTAATAGAACAAGATAATCACTGACAGGTCTCAGTAGCTTTTCTTGCTCATTGGCTGGCACCAGTGGCTGGTGATCTGCCTCCTTTTTCCTTGCTTTGCCACTGTTTGGTCTCCCTGAGAACATTCCTTACAGTATTTCTGCATCTTCTGGGCTCTTGCATGTTAATTACCACTGACAGCCTCATTTCCCTGCCAGTACCTGTGTTCTTCAACATTCCCACAATTTCTATGGTACCAGTACAGAGGAAAGAGTTGAGTTTCTCCAGGAGGGACATCCTAATGTGGTCCTGAGCGTGCCCTCAGACTGCTATGCCATGCAGCTCTGGGCCCTTGGCTCTAGCAAACTTCTAAAACAGCCTGTAGGATCAAGGCAAAAGAAGGAACCAGCCTGGGTAAGACGCACAGAAATGGGCTATTGCGTACTCCATTGGCAGCTTACTCTCTACCATTGGGGTTGCCAGAGGTGGGTATTTATTCCATACTTTTTGTGCTATGTAATAACTTTTCTCCACCACTGCATTTATATTATTAACAAAAGTATTCCTTTTAAACTTTTAGCTTTGAATTCCACACACATGTTGAAATAATAGGAGCAGGATGGAGTCTTCTACTTTTGTCTCAGGTCTCTGAAGGAGGATAAAAAGTACTAGAATGGATTGCCATATACTTAAAATAGAGCCAAACATTGCTCACTTGTGGTGCAATATTAATATTTTGGCAATCAAGTGTAATTCTGTAATTCCAACCAATAGTGTTAAATGATGACAGATCCTTGGCTTTAAATTTTAGATATTCAAAAGTTTTACTTTTGAAGTTTGAAAAATTAAAGAATAAAAAACTTATTCTCCTGCTGGGTATCTTCCCCAAAGAATTAAAAGAATCATACCACAGCGATATATGTGCACCCATTTTTATAGCGGCACAGTTTGTAATAGCTAAGGTTTGGAAACAGCCCAAGTGCCCACCAACTGGAAACTGGATAAAGAAGATGTGGGATTTTTAATAAAATGGAGTACTACTCAGCCATAAAGAATGAGAAACTAGAGACATTTATAACTAAATGGATGCACATTGAGGCAGTACTCTTAAGTGAAATAAATAGGATACACGTGTAAATACCGAATAGTTTCTCTAGTGAGAGAAACTGAAAGCATAAATAAGGATTAAAATGATTAAAATGAATAATTGATAATTTGAAATAGGAAAAGGTCCAAAGGTGTAGGGGTGGCGGGAGGGGAAGGGGAAAGGAAAGAAGGGAAAGGAAAAATTATGAGAAAAGAAAAAAAATGGAAATGAAATTGATGTAAATAAGGAAAGGTGGAGGGGTGAAGGGCGCACAGGTAATGGGGAAAAAATAACTAAGATACATCATGTACACGTACAAGCACCCAATGATAAATGTATTGTATACCTAAAATGTACCAATAAAAGAATTTAAAAGAAAAAAATTAAAAATCAGGAAAAAAAAGAATAAAAAACTTCTATTAATCATCAGTGAATAAGAAATACTTTAACCAGAATTTCCCTTTTACTCCCTTACTACCTATTTGCTTCTCATTTGTCACCCAGGTGAGGAAAAAAAGAGTTTCAGTAAGAGAGATGATTAATTCTTCAGGCCATCCCACTGAACATCAAATAAACTTTTCATATAATGTAAAAATATTTTATTTTCCTATTAGAGAGCCAAATACTTATGATCAACCCACTGAAAACAGAGAAAACTTTCTAACCATCATGTAAGAATCAGAAACAAACCAGAATTATTTTTACATTATTCTGGAATGGTACTTGCTCTTCATAATGATAACCAAAAAGCACTGTAAGATTCTGACTTAGTGTTTCAATCAAATTTGAAGTGAACTTTAAAAGTTATCCAATACCATTGCCGTATTTTTCTCCTAAGGAAATTGAGGTCCAGCAAAACCTAAGTATCTTGGTCAAGACCAGTTACCCTTCTGATCAGTAAAACCTCATCTTTGGTTCCCAGTCCAGGATATTTTATTTTTCACTTCACATCTAAGAAAAGAAAAAAATACATTTTCAGATTTAAAAAACACTTTTCCCTCATTTTCTGTTGCTATTAATGGCTATAGGTTATCTTGTGCCCTTCAAACGTACCTGTTAGGCAGGATTGTATTTAGTAAATAAGGAGAGGGCTTAAATGAGCATTTAACATTTTTAAATATCCAGAGAAAACAATTCTACACGTTCCTTAAAACAGAAAACTTGTGTTTAACATCCCTGTGGTGGAGAAAAACATTTCTTATCCTTGCCCTGGAGGTTTTTTGGATTATTTCATTAACATCATTCCAGCAGCAACAGAGGTGCAGTCACTTTGAAGGAACCTTTAGTTGAGGTTTGTATGAAACCCTCAGGTTAAGACCGTGATTCTGCAATTAAACATATCAAACAGTGTATCATGAGGCCTCCCACAGGCAAAATAGATCTGGTCCAAAAAGTTCAATAACTGAGACAACTTACATATACTTGTAGGCCAAGAAATAATGAAAGAGCAAGTAAACAAGTCTATAGTAGCCACAAAGGATAAGAGCAGCATAGTTGTTTTTTTTCTCTAATTTTAAGTACTTGAGATGTTTGCTCTAAGAAAAATTCCCCCTGAGCACTTTTACAGGATGAAAAGATACTAGGAGTGTTCCTTTGAGGCACACAGTTTTGAGGGGGTTTTTTTCTATTAAGAACATAGTTTTTCTGATTTATCTCTGCTTTCTCCGATAATCAGACACGTTATTCCTCCTATCTGCAAACATAATAGCTGTTGTTTCTGTATCCACTTTTAATCCATCAGTACTTGACACAACAGATCAAGTGTATTATGTATTTGATGCATTTTACAAACTGGTTTTGAAGGTTTTAAAGAAAAGCCAAAGCTGCAAGTAAACACTTCTTCCCTCAAAAAGCAAGAGCTGAGCTAAAGGCAGGGAAGAGTGGGGAACGGGAGGTGGAAGGAGGAGAGAAGACTCACTGCTCCAGGCTTGAGAAGAGGCCCTCAGTACAAGCTCAGAATATTGTTCCTTTCTGTTTTCCCTGGGTGTTTCAATAGGTACAGTTATAATTGTGATATTATATTTGTACGTGTAATTGGTTTATTGAATCCACTGACTCCAGATGAAGCAAAATGCCCATTCCTTGGGACAGATGCCCTCTTGGTAAACTCTGACATTGATCCTCTAAAACATCCTCCACCTTCCAAAGGCTAATTTTCATGGGAAGGAAAAGAATTGCCCATCTTTTCAGTGGGCCTTGTCCTCACACAGGTGTTACACTTGAGGCTTGGTACAATTCTGTGACCCACACCTGTCTTATTGAATGTAACAGAGGCCCATGCGGCAGTGTGGTGTGCATTTCCAGGGGGCTTGCTCAACTTTGGTTCATGGGGGCCCTGTAGGGAGGCCATGCTATGTGAAGCTGTTCTATTCTTGTAATAAATGCAGTTGTTGCATGTACTAAACTGTGTTATAGCAAGTGGTGTTTCATCAGTGCAAACTTAAGAGTGTTGAAAGTGGTGTGGTGTAGATAACCTGGAGTTGGTTTGCTATCAGTCTGTATTATGTTCTTATGGTCTTTAATATGTTCTCTATTATGGTTTTCAGTGTCTGTTTTGGTCAGTGAAGGCACCTTTGGTCTGCACTGTTAGGTCCTTTGCACTGTCATGTGTTAGTTATATGCTCCCAGAAAATGAAAATACAGCTGTTTTCTTTAACCACACTAAATGTAGTTCTATAAACTAAAACCAGTTTATTATTCATTCCATTTCCACAGAATTAAGATAACTACCTGGCTTTGAAATGACGGTCAAACTTTAGAGAGAGAGAGGCAGAGAACAGAGACAGAGAGAGACAAAGAAAGAGAAAAAGGGAGGGAGGGAGGGAGGAAGAGAGAAAGAAAGACCTTTCATCCCAGTCTGCAAAAATAATATATATGTGGTGGTAGACTAGGCTTGGATGTATGGGCCTGACTGTAAGAGACATAGAATTCCATGTATCATTTTTATGAAGTCTGCAAACTAAGCCCACAAATCTACGAAGTAGTGATCTTACAGTACCAAAAGAATTTATACCTTAATTCTGAGCCCTCTATTTCCTTCTCACTGATAGAATCTGGCTCAGTGATTCTAAAAGTCAGAGTATCACAGATGCTGTTGTCAAGGTTATACCTGTGTGCTCATTCTGTTTTATGCTTGCTTGTTAATTTGAAATTACAAGTGTGGTTTTTGTTATTTTAAGGCACTCAACCAGAATGCTGAACTAAGGAGTCGGTTGAACAGAATACATTCAGAATCTATTATTTGTGATCAGGTTGTCAGTGTAAATATTATTCCTAGCCCTGATGAGGTAAGACTCATTTTTAATAGATGTAGAGTACCTATTTCATAGCATCTAGATTTACTACATATTTTTGTCCATTTTTGTACAATTCTTTTACTGTTAATAAGATTCCCTCCATAAATAATTGTGTTGCTGACAGTTCAGTATTCTTTGGAATACAAAATCTACATGAGTTTGATATCACATATTCTTGGTGATCACTGTCTATTTTTATTTATTCCTGTGTTCCCCTGATGTCACCAAATATTTAATTTATATACCTGTTCCAGCCTGTTACTTTTCTGTGTTTGATTCTTTATCTAAGATATTCATTATCATTGAATGGCCAATGAAATATTGAAAAAAAATTTTTAGTTGAGAAGCTGCTAGGTAGAGGTTTCCTAATAGTGGGGCATAGCGCCACACACCTGTAATCCCACTACTTGGGAGGCTGAGGTAGGACTCTGACTCAAAATAAAGAAAAAAACTGAATCAGTTAAAAAAAAAAAACGCTTGGGGATACAGCTCAGTGTAAGACCCTGGGTTCAATCTTTACTGCAAAAGAAAAAATTTCATTAGGGTTTGGAAAGAGAAGTCAACTGATCTTGCTAAGATGATACTAATGGTGCTGCTACAGCCCCTACTGATGATGATAATTAATAGCTAACGGGTGTCAAGTGAATGCTTACTGTGTGGCAGATATTGTGCTAACCACTTTGCTTGTGTTGCCCCATCTGACCGTTGCAAGGTCAGGTGCTGAGGTAGGTGCTGTTATCCCAGTTTTTGGATTGAAGAAGTGGTAAGGGAATAGGAGAACATTCAGAATTTGAGCTACATTTCAGTGTGTAATTGTATTTATGAACCTTTGTAAAATTGTTGTTTTATGACCATTAAACTTACACTTTTTGACAGTAATATTAGAGCTTTGTACATAGCGATACATGTAGATAATACTGTACAGCCATATTTACAACAAAAACACCAAAACACAATGGTACATGTAGGTAATACTCTAAGTTAATACTTGGACCAAAAACATGTATTTTACGAGAAATCTCCTGATGCAAGTGTCCCGGGCTTCAGAAAAGAGAAGCATAATATACCACCCAGCTATTTAGGCTACATTATCCCAAAGCAGCTTGCCTTTGACTTTAGTTCCCTACTCTGTATCTGCTCACCTCCAGGGACGCTGGTCTCTGGTAACATCTGCATTTACTCAACTGCCCAAAATTTAGAAATATTCGAAAATTTATCATTCAACAATTATCTAGTAATCTTTAATTAGAACCTTTTTAACCTGTAAGATATATTAGAATATGTGGAGTGTGTGTGTGTGTGTGTGTGTATATATGTGTGTGTGTGTGTGTATATATATATATTTAAATATCTTTCTGATTTAAATTCACATAGCTGCCTTGAAAACAATATTTATTACTTAGAGAATAAAAAATATAATCTGAAATGAGGTTCAGCACCTTTCAACTGTGCCTTTTAAAATCTTTAGTTACCTAATAGAAGGAATCTTATACAGTAGCAAGTAAAAATTACTGGCAGTCACGTCTTTCAACATGGTGTGGGTTTCTTTAGAAATCTGGCTAATGTGAAGGAATAGCTTTCCAACAAGAGTACAAATGATAGTAACATATGCTTCTCTTTTCTGTAGCCTGGTGAGCAAATCCATGTCAGTCTCCCCTTGTCCCAGCAAGTAGCCAATGAGAGCCGCCTCTCCATGTCAGAGTCTGTGTCTGAGTTCTTTGATGCCCAAGAGGTACTCCTGTCTGCAAGTTCATCAGAGAATGAGGTAAGGCTGCTGGGCATGTCGACCTCAACTGCTTGTGACCAGGAGTTTGAGTTAAAGAAAGTAAGATTATGAAATTTTGGGGTGGTTGTGTTTTTAGTTTACATCCTAGTAAGATGCTCAAATTGTAGGAGAGCCAAAAGCATGCAGACCACATCGGTTCCTGTTTACCAAGGACTTGACCATACTTTGGGGCCATCAGTTTATTACTTCTGAGTTTGATAAATAAAGGGAAAAAGAGTCAAATATTTACTCTGACTATTTTCTATGATTGCTATTTTAAGATAACCAAATAGTCGACGACTGGGTTCTTTATAGAAGGAGATGAGCTAATAAATGTAAGAAGAATAGGAGAATTAGAAAAATCACCATTCAGGCACACACACAGACATACATATTGTGTATCTTTGCCAGTGACTTACACTGGAGGATAGATGGATCATGTCTAGCACGTACCTAGGTGGGTAATTGTGGTTCTTGGAGCTGTACTGGGTTGCTGCTCATTTTTGTGAACCTTGGCAAGGTCTTAGAAACAGGGGATCTCTTTCTGGGGCAGGCTTTGTAAATTCTGTTACTGAAATTTACTCAAATATGCTTTGATTTTTGTTTTGTTTTTTCATAAGGGATGCAGCCAGAACTTTCCCACATAATTGGTTAGGGCTTTGTGGTACTGCAAATCTGTGCCACATCTTTACCCAAAAAATGAAGTAGTTGCTAAATAATAGTTTCAATAAAATAGAATGGGAAGGAGACATCCTAACAATTAGTAGTAGTTGTTTTTAGATGTTTACAGTTATGACTAATTTTAGAAACAAATGTAAAGCGGAATGGAGAAGGAAATAACGAACACATATCGTATTTATAGCGGAGGAAATGTCAATAGGATTCTTGTATCAGGTGCTGAATTTGTTAGCGTACCAGGACATGCACCTGCCTCTGAGATCTCTAGGCAGGTATTAACAGGTTCAGTGAGATTTCCATTCACAAGCAAGACAACTAGTTTAATGATGTGTGATGCCATCAGATGAACAGAATAATAATGCTTGCCATTACTCTCTTTGCCTACAGGCAAATCTGCAGGACAAGTCTAATTGTAGTCAGGAGCTGCTTAGTGAGCAGCAAATGTAAACAGAAGTGAGCTGAGCGAACTTTAAGGTCAGGAGAGCCAGATGTTTGGCTCCATACCCCCTTCCGCTTATAGGGATGCTCTGCCGCACAGAAAAGTATTTGTGTCCTTGCCCCCAAGGTCCACTATGCTGGAGACATGCTGCTTGAATTTTCCTTTGTGGCTAACTTTTTGAGCTCCCACTGCTGACCCAGTACTCCATCCTTCAATCAAATTATAGTCAAACTTGACTGCACCTTATCTGAGCTCAGACCCATCATCCAATGATTTTATAGCCTCTTTCTCTGAGAACAAACCTATTTCCCTGATTTCAAGTTCTTAGTGGATGTCACATATCACTTTCACTAAGTACTAGAGATACAGAAGTGAAGACGAGAGGCAGCAGATTATTGCATAAGGCCAAGCAAGATGTTGGTGCTGCTTAGGGAAGTGGCAGCATCCCTAGAGGCCTGAGGAAGCTTGAGGGCAGCATGGGGATTGTACATTTACTTTGAAGCATCATGAGTCTGCAGGACCTCTCAAGGGGCCACTTGTCAGATGTTCAGACAGGCAAGTCTAAAGCTCAAGGACAGAGTAGATTTAGAAAGAGCAGCTCAGGATCCACAGAACCAGCTACCTGTGAGATACTGCTGCCTGGGTACTCATAAAACCTCTAATTCAGCCTGTCAAAACAAACAAACAAAAGAATCAACAAACCTCTTCCCAAATACCACCACCACCCCCCCAAGATAAAAACAGTTCACTGGTTAGTTGACTGTTTTAGGCTCTTCTAGCTAAATATTCACATCAGACACTTGGGTATTTTCCTTCCTCCCATTTTTTTCTCTTCCAGCTGCCCATATAGATTCACTCATCACATCACACTGACATCTAAAACTCTCACAGCCAGGCATTGTCCTGCAGCTTCAGTGCCACCACTGTAATCCAGTCCCCCATCTTTTCTCCACCTGAATCACCCCACAAGTCCCACAACCGGTTTTCTTGTCTCTTTTCTTCTCCCCTCCGATCCTTTCCTATCACATCCCCGTTCTTCGGTGTCCTTAGGATAACATCCTAACTACTTAGCTATCCACAACGACCTTTATAATCTGGTCCTGCTCTTCCGTGCAGCCTCATGCTGCCTCTACTCTGGCACCTTCCAGCAGCCAGCAGTTACTCCTGGAGCTTTCGACTTGCCAAAGACACCTTGTGATTGTCCTTGTAGGAGAGATTCCTGCAACCCACTCTGGAAAGCACTGACCTTTACACCTGAGCCTTGTGCCTTGTATTCTACATATTGTCAAAAAAGAAAAAACTATCTCTCTACATACACCTTCCCTTTATAGCAACACTCAGTCTTATGGGGCTAGGTCAGGAGATAAACTCAAGTGATTGTTACTATGATGTTCTCAGAGTTGCTCCTCCCTTTCAACAAAGCTTGGTTAGTGAGTGAACCTCATCTGCCCTCATCTCTAAGTTTCCTTCTGATAAGGTCCTCCCAGAAGGCCCCTTGAGTCTTCACACTAACGAGCTTGGCAAGCCAACCTGGAGAGTTTACTATATGTGTGCCCACCCTAGCAGCAGCTGCAGGGTCACCTCAAGTTGCATGTCCTGCACTCCATCTGTCTGCACAGCTGCAGGGCATCCCCCAGAGACAGACACATTCAGCTCTCTACATTCACTTTAGTCCCATACTCAAAAGTCACCCTCAGGGAAGCCCACAGTGGCTGACCTGTCTCTAATCAAGAGTTATCATTCCTCATCTCCTCTCACCTTTTATATCCCTCTTTCCGCCTTATTTTTTCCTTCACACTTGCCACTATCTAGTGAAATTACATTTCATGTTTTTACTTGTTTGTTGTGTTTCTCTCCACTAGAATTCAATGCAGATAGAGACTTTTCCCACTGTGTCTCCAGCACTGGAGAAACCCTGTGAGGCCAGAGCAGATACTCCATAAATATCACTGAACAGATGAAGCAGAGCTTCATCTTTAACACATAATTCTTCTGAGAAACATCAGGGCCTTAGCTGTCTTACATCAACATTTTCCATTACTGAGGGAAAAAGGGCCTCTTTGTGATATCTACCAATGCACTTTACTTTTCTTAGTAGATCCTCGGCTCCTGTTAAAAGAAAATGGCCCTTTGCTCCCAGAATGATGTACTTGCCTTATTCCTGCTTTTAAACTTGTTTCTGCACTGCTATATGCCTCCTCATGTTCAAGGAAAAAAAAAATTCCCTAAACACTTTTGAATCCTGAAGTTTGTAAAGAGAATATTTGGCTCCAAGAGTTGTTGACCATGGGGAATAAAACAGATTTTATTATAATACTAAGAGCCTTATTCTTTTTACAGGATGACATGAGAGGATCACAGCAAGACAACCCCAACTTTGCTATTGCCCCCGTACATGCATGTGACATTATGCAGTTTTCTTAGAGCCCACTGTTACTGTAGAATTGTTTCATACCAGTGGTATTGGGTCGTCTCTTGGATATCTTAGTTTGGTAGAGATCAGAAATTGAAGAGAAATGGACATTTATAGTTTTTATAGGATAAACGTGAGTGTTTCTTAACAAATAAGACTAGACATGCATAAACTATGAATTTGACTCATGAGGGCAGTGTCTTTTAAACATACTTGTCATTAGCTTTTTTCAGAGAAATTGAATAAAGAGTTTTATTTATTTATTTTTCCTCTACTAAACTAAAAAGCTTTGCTGAGCCTGATGACTTACCCTTCAGCTCTTTTGCAATCATTGTGAACTGTGGGAGCCAGGTGCAAAAATGGGAATCAGAAATCGATTTTATTCTCAATTTGCTATCTTTATCGACTTACTCAGTGTGCAAAAGCAAAAGTTCCATTATTCATTCATACATGCAATCATTGTCACTCTAAATATGTGAACTCTTTTCAACTTTAATTGTAAAAACATCAGCAATAAATCCAGCAATCTTAAAGGTAAATATGAATTGTTTTTATTACATACACATTTAATTTTTTATACCAAAAGGGTTGGCATAAACAAACTTAAAAAAATACATCAGGATCCATAGATGAATGCAGTGTATATGACAACAGAAAAATGTGTGAGCCAGTTGGTGGCACATGCCTGTAATCCTGGCACTTCAAGAGGTTGAGGCAGAAGGATAACAAGTTCGAGTCCAGACTGAGTGACTTACCAAGACCTTCCTTGTGCCAAAGTAAAAAATAAGACAAAGGCTGGGGTTGTAACCCAGTGCAAAGAAAGGCCCTGGGTTCAATTCCCAGGACCACAAAAAAAGAAAAAAAGAGAGGGAGGGATAGAGGCCGGAGAGGAAGGAAGCATAGATAGATGTATGAAAGATAAAATAAATTCACAAATGATTAAATTCAAATGTTAAAGAGCTGTTTTGTATATTAGTTATACAGCTAGTGAAAAAAAAAAAGACATTGTACAGCGGCTAAGTAGATGTGGAGAGATAGATTTTTCCCAGTTCTACTGGAGAGAGCAAATTAATGCAGTCTTTCAGGAGAGCAATTTGGCACCATGTGCTAAAGCCTAAAAGTGATCCATTCAGTTACAGAAATTTTAAGGAAATCAGCCAACAGATTTACAGTGGTGTTCATCTAAGTATTGTCTATAACAGTAAAATGTGGGAAACTACTTCAATGCTGGTTAAATCCCTTGTGTTACAAATATTCAATGAAATATGCTGTCTTTCCAAATAAAGATAAAGAGCTATGGCCACTGTAGTGGAATCCCATTCAGGATGCTCTAAGGGAATATAGGAACTGATTCCTTTTTCAGCATTCAAAGGTAGTTGTATCATTGTGATTATAAAGGCATTTGAAATTGGGAGATAACATCAAACCAAATGTTAAACATAATTACCTGTAGTGATGAGATTGTGGGTATTTTCATACATACCTGTTTACCTCCATGTAATTTCTAGTATCTTTACAATACAAATGTTTTGGTTTTTCTGTTTAGAAAAAATATAACACTATGTCTTCTTTGAAGAAAGTAAATAAGTATTAACAGTGTTCTTCCCTGGAGTACAGACATTGATTTTCCCTTTCCACTTATGATTCTTATTCCTCTTTACTTGTCTGCTCTGTTTCTCACTTCCCTTAGTATGTACCTTCGTCCTTCATTTTGTTTTCATTTTAATTTTGCTTTCATATAGTTTCATGTTTTTCTCATGAAGAGCGTGGCTTAACTCTTGATGACTCCCCAGCCTTTGCAGACACCACCTGATTCTAAGCTGTCAGTGTTTCTTAACCAGATCTGTGCACTATCCTAGCATCTGCCTTCCTAGGGAAAGCTGCCAAGGATCCTCCTAAAACAAAATCCATGCGTTTCTGTTGGTCTGTGATAACCCATAAGGTTATATGTGAACCATTTATATTGGCGTGAAAAGCCCATCACTGTGGTACCTTCTGCTTGTTCTCCCCGATCTCTGTCCTAGCCTAGCTGCTCTCTACTTCTCAGAATTCCTAGGATAAATGTTTCTCTCATGGTCTTTGCCTTTCTATATCCTCCCTCTTCCTGTACTCCTCTTCCTTGTAAGGACTGGACAACCCTATTTGTTCTTCAGCACCCAGCTGAAGTATCTTTGCTCTGGGCAGCCTCTCCTGCATCCTCTAGAGGAAGTCCCAGGCCCTCCTTTTATGAACACTGTTAGTGTACTATCCGGACACATTTCTGGTTATGTTGGCCTTCCTCAGCTTTCCACCCCAGCGAAGGCATGTTGCTATGCAAGACAAGCTTTCTAGCAGCCCCATATCCTGGCCCATGGAAAACCTTTGAGTTGCATGTGTGCCAACTGCATTTCCCACTAGGACCTCTGCTTCTCATTTGAGTAATTCTTTGATGTTTAATCACTTGATTATCCGAGCTTTCAAGACAAGAATCAGAATAAGAATTCTGATACCTTCTGTGTTCTTCCCCTCCACAGGCTTCAGATGACGAGTCTTACATCAGTGATGTGAGTGATAATATCTCAGAAGACAACACCAGTGTTGCAGACAATATTTCTCGGCAAAGTATGCATCACTTTGGCTTCCAGGTTCTTCTGTCTGCATGCAAAATTACAACACTTATGAACTCATAAGCAGTCATTCTCCTCTCATCCTCACTAATTGTTCCTTTTCCAGCTGATTGTTCCAGAATTTTTATTTTGCATAATCTGTTGAGATAAGGAATTGCAAAAATCTGTTAAGTACATGTTTAAGTATTTGAAAAAGTTTTACCTCTTGCTCATACCCAAAGTTTAAATCCTTATTAAACATATATTTTTTATTTGACTTGCCTTTTCTTAAATAATATTTAAATATATTTAACACCTAGTTTAAATAACTATACTCTGCTGCTTTGTGCATTTGCTTTCAATCTTGAATAGAAATACTGTTTATTCTTGACATAGTGCAGTATAATGAAGGCTCAAGAAAGGTATCACAATCAGAATTGTTTGCAGCAGTTATTTTCCTCCCTGATTTTGTGAAATCCGAAAAGCAAAGTCTCTTTGACTATGATTGTCCCTCTCCCAGTCCTGAACGGGGAGCTCACGGGCGGTGCCTTCCGAAACGGGCGGCGCACATGCCTGCCTGCTCCGTGCCCCGACACCAGTAACATTAACCTGTGGAACATCTTGCGGAACAACATCGGCAAAGACCTCTCGAAAGTCTCCATGCCTGTGGAGCTCAACGAGCCGCTCAACACTCTGCAGCACCTGTGCGAGGAGATGGAGTACAGTGAGCTCCTGGACAAGACTTCAGAGACCGATGACCCCTACGAGCGCATGGTAATAAATGCCAGGGCTGTGCCCTTAGGACCTGGGATAAACCACAAGCCATTTTAACACATTTGGTTTTTGCATAACATTCCTACTGCATAGGTAAGACAGGAATTGCTCCATTTGTAAAATCAAGCAGAGACAAAAAGTTCTAGATGCCCTTCCTGGAAGGCACACTTTTTGTGACTCCTCTGCACTCTAGAGTATTTCTAAAGTTAGGCTGCAAAGGTGTCATGCTCCATAGATGTTGAAGTCATGCTGAACCTTGCCTTATTAGCTTTTCCTGAGTGCCAAGAGAGCCCACCTGTTCAGGAACTTAGTTCCAAGAAAGTAACTTGCTGTCGGAACCTTGCCCTGTTCTCCAAGTGACTGGAAAACTGGCCCTGGCCTCTGACAAGCACCACAGCTCCAACCCTCCTGCATGTCATGCTAAGATGATGGACAAGGGTAATCTATAAGCCGAGTTCAGGACCTTTGAACTTTGTGAGGCTCATAAAACTGGGTGGACATATGAATGGAGAGCACTTACCCTCTGTGGCCTGCTAGTTCCCATAGGAGTGGTTTAACCTCATTTAAACTTATATTTTGCCCATGAATTAATGAAAATTTATGCAAATAATAGAAAATACAAATGGCTTCAAGTCAGTGCCCGTTGATATGGGGTATATGAAACAGGAATAGAGAGAAACACACCTAGCAGTGGTCTCTCCTATATTATGTTCCTTTCTCAAATGTTTTAACAGGTTCTCGTTGCTGCATTTGCAGTTTCAGGCTATTGCTCCACCTATTTCAGGGCAGGAAGTAAGCCATTCAATCCAGTCCTGGGGGAGACGTACGAATGCATTAGAGAAGACAAGGGATTCCGATTTTTCTCAGAACAAGTAAGCAAGCTTTCTATATAGGTTGGAGGGCAGTCCAGTGATGAAAACGGCTTTTGACAACTGTCCATTTGGAATGGGTGATTGAACCGATTAACAGAAAACTCAGCTTATCTGGACCATCAACACCACTGAGTGTTCTAGGTTCTCTTTGTTTAGGCATAAAGTCTTAAAAGTTACAGATTTATTTATACATCTTGAGAATAATTTACTTATAGAAATGCTTTACTTGTAGTTTTTCATTGATGGTGACAGTTTTTTATCATAAAAATGTGTATCATCTATGGGAGTTTGACACTGTTATCATTGCTTCTTTTTTCTTAATTACCAGGTTAGCCATCATCCACCCATTTCTGCTTGTCACTGTGAATCAAAGAATTTTGTGTTTTGGCAAGGTCTGTATCTCAATGATAATTTAAAGTCAAATGTATGAGCCTATGGAAAAGTTTCTAGCTTCTGAATACATTGTACTCAGTTTAGATTTCTACCTTTGAATTCAGAGAATGTTGGTAACTGGCATGGAGCTCAGTTTGAGAAATTAAATTTCCTGGTTGAAGTGCGAAGCGGTGTCCTCTAGGAGGCGACATTGTTTATCTAGGAAGCAAGGCCGTGGAGCGGTGGGGCGCCTCTCAGATGCACCTGGAGCCATCATTTTATCCCGGTGGGGCTGGTTGTCTGCTTCTGTAAAGCAGAGGTAGTATCTTCAGCCTTCTTGGTTCTTGGCGTGTGCGAGATATTTTAATCTAGAAGATGTTATGGCACATCATCCAATCATCCCACAATATCTGGGGTTTCTGCATCTACAGAGTCAACCAAGCCCAGATAGAAAATATCCGGAAAAAAAAGTTATATCTGTACTGAACCATGTACAGATATTCTTGTCATTATTCTCTAAGCAATAGAATATAACGATTATTTACACAGCATTGACATTGTATTAGGTATTGTATGTAGCCTAGAGATGGTTTAAAGTATATGGGAAGATATGCATAGGTTATATGCATATAACCTACATTGCCATTGCCTTTAACAGAAGGGACTTGGGTGTCTGTGGATTTTGGTATCTGTGGGTGTCCTGGAACCACTCTCCATGGATACCAAGGGACACTTGTGTAACATTGCAGTGATTTGTAGACAGTAACTCACTAGAGCTCAGAACTGAAGTCCATTCTCGCTAATAGCCAGTCCTATCAGAATGTTACAGATTTGCCTTACAGTTTCCAAACGTTTTCAGAAAGAAGAGGATATGTATGTAGATGTGACCACTTGGTATAAATAGTTTCTCCACACTGGGGGGGGGGTGCTTCATTGCTCACAGAATGACTCTTCTCATAACCATTTCCTTAGCCTGAACACACAAAATGACAGGGCACTGTAGCTGTATTTTCTGGCAAAATAATACAATACATCATTTCTTGATCATACCCAAGAGCCAGAAATTGTATGGCAACAACATTAAGCTCCCTCAGTTCATCAAAATTGGACTAGGTGGTCATTATAAACGTGCAGGTATATGTGACTCTCCACAAGTAAATGGAAAGCCACCTGAGATAAAGTGCTGGCCCTTGGGCTCTGTCTTAGCAACCACAATAGGAAAGTGTTCACTGAATTAACCTCGCTCTCATAAATCTTCCATATCTGTATTTAGAGAACTTTAATTTTTTTACTGTTCTCCCAAATCACATAACCCTTTCATGTACAGGGGAAAATGTGTACAGAAATCAGTGATATTGCCATGCTGCGATTGTTTTTACATACATTTTAGGCTTGCTGGTTATGTTAACTATTTTTACCATTTAGTTAAACTTAACAATATTTATTACTATCTGGCCATTACTGTTAGAGTTTCTGTTTATATGTATATGTGAATACACACACACATACATCTTATTCCAGGATTCTTCCAGTTTGTTAATTAGACACAAACATGGGGCATGATTTTGGAGAAATATCAGTAGTGGATTTTTTTAATCACAGTTAATATTTTCATTTAGGGCCATCTTCAGAAGCTTTTCAGGTTAAATGCACAATATAGAATCGATTGTAATTACCAAAGTGCTTTGCCAAATGCAATACAAAAGTTAGTTTTTACAGAACAAGTGATCAGATATGGAGTATATGTTTTTGTCCTCTGCCCATGTCATGTAGATATCAGATGGAAAAACAAGTTCTGGGGGAAGTCGATGGAAATCCTGCCTGTTGGAACACTGAATGTTATGCTTCCAAAGTAGGTTGCTCTCTGTTCTCTTCCTTTTGGCCTCTTAGCTGCTTTTCTAAACCAGAAGTGAGTACTTTAGCCTCTAGAAGGTTCCCGGGGTCCATTTCCCTCTCTCCCCAAAGTTTCTGTTACCTTCACTACAGTTTTGAATATGAACTCCCACAAAAACAAATGAGACATCTCAAAATGTACCAAAGCTTCCTGTTTCTCTCCATGTCCTCCATCCATCAGTCAAATCCACATACCTATCACATCCAGACACCATGCTAGTTTGCATTTTATAAGATTTATAGGTTATTTTGTCAAAGAAAAATAAAGGGATCCTTTTATAGTTTTATAGCCTATAAATCTTTTAAAATTAATTGAAATTTTCATTGAGTCCAAAGGCTTGATTAAGCTGGTTTTGTTTTTGTCTATTCAAATGACAGAATTTGCTAGTGCATGGAATATGAAGGAAGGTGAGGAGAGGAAGGTAAATTATCAACATTTGAAAATTTGTGAAGAAGAAAAAAGTTTTCCCTGGTATCTGTAGTGCCTACATTATTCCAATTAGATCTTAGCATTTTATTTTATTTTTGAAGTAACATTTTATTTGAAAATATACATAATCTACAAATTTAAATGTTATTGAAGCTATTTCATTCCTTAGCAAAAATTCTGTAACCTTATTCCCAGGGTTTGCTTTAGATTTGTGCCATCTAAGTTATCCTTGTCAATCCTTTTTCCAAATAATTACAGTATTCTCACTGTTGGTCTTAATTCAAATTATGAAACACTATCTTTAGAGCAGTCTTTCTTACATGCATACCCTGATTAAACCTCTCCCTACCTGCAGTCCTTCCCAGGTGGCCCCTTGCCTACAGGGTAAATCCATGCTGTTTGGTAAGACATGAAAAGTCTGCTCTCCTTTCCAGCCCTGCCTCACACTGCGGGGCTGACCAGCAGGACAGCATCAGAGGCCCCCGTGCATCCTGCTCTTCTAGCCTTTGGGGCTTTGTCAGAGTTTCTCCCAGCAGAGTAGCCTCCTGCTCACCATCCAAACTAAGATATAACCCAGCCTTTTCTAGGACATCTTCCCCAACCCTCATCCCACACGTTCCAGGCGGATCTAAGGATGAAGGACTTGCCCTTCTTTATTCCCCTGGTGTTTTTGTTCATTTGTCTGTTATGGCCTTCATCACACTTGACCTTAAGCATGTGTTTAGATGTCCATCTACTCCTCACATTCTGATGGCCCCAGAGGAGCAAGAAACAGACCCCCTTCGACTTCATAGCTTTAGCACCTGGCTGGGAGAAAACACTTCAGCAATCGATCCTTAAGTGAATGAATGATGTCATAAGTGTTTATGACCACACAGAAACTTTCTGGAAATGAGAAGAAGATGAAGGATTGCCCAAAAGATATTCTAATTAGTAGAAACAATAATATATTTGTGACCTTTCTTGTTCTTAATGTTATATTCTTCACTAGGTACGGAGATTACTACGTGTGGAATAAAGTCACTACATGCATACACAACATCCTCAGTGGGAGAAGATGGATAGAGCATTATGGAGAAATAACCATTAGAAATACCAAAAGCAGTGTTTGCATTTGCAAACTCACATTTGTCAAGGTAAATAATATAATAGAACAGCAAAGGAAAAATAGTACAAAATGCTTCCTAAAGCAGGGCATGGTAGCACACACCTGGCCAATTTAGCAGCTTAGCAAGAACCTGTCTCAAAACTAGGGAAAAAAAGGCTATTATGAAGATCTTCAACTCAGTATGAAGGTCCTGAGTTCAATCCTCAGTAGCGTGCACACACATGCACACACGCACACACACACACACACACACACACACACAAAATAATAGTAATAATACAATAAAAGCTTCTTAAGGAAGAAACAGAACAATGACATTAAATAGCAGCGAGTTGGTGGGTGTGGTAGAGTACACCTATAAACCCAGCACTCCGGAGGCTGAGGCAGGTGAATCACTGTGAGATTAAGGCCAGCCTATGCTACTAGTGAGTTCAAGGCCAGCCTGAACTACAAAGTGAGACCTTGTCCCAAACAGATGAATGAATGAATGGCTAGCAGCAAGTGAATCTATCCTGTGTTATTGGTCTTAGGACATTTTAGATAAAAAAGCAGGACCAACTTACAGAATTTTGAAGACATGAGGCTTTTGGACATGTGGAGGTCAAAAAAGGCACCATTTCAAAACAGGGAAAAAACCTTCTTTTTAAAAGTGCAAATTTCCAATGATGAATGTCATATTGTATACCTTAAATGTACCAATAAAATTAATTTAAAAATAAAAATAAAAAAACCTTTTTTAGATAGCCAGTCAGGAGTTTATTAAGTAAAATTCCGGAAAACACTTCTTGCCTGTACTAAGTTTTCTGATTTCTTTCTATTTCTATTCCTGCTTGGTTACAACATATTCAAGTGACCCTATTTTAGGGAGTGAATTATAATGCAGTTATCATTTTCTGAAAATACTTGAATAGAACAGCCACATAGATGGCAGCTACCAGTCACTACAAACTTATCCAACCCCATCACTATTATAATCCAAATCACTGTGGTCTAAAGTAAAGTCTACTGTATCACCTTCGTGTTTGCATGTATTACAGAATTCATCAGCTATTTCTATAGCACAGTCAATTAAATTTCATTAAAACCCACGAGCAAAGGAAGAATTCAAGACAAGAGGACCACTAACCTAGGAATTAATGTTAGGTTCGTAGGATAGCACCTGAGCTTTCTCTGTTCCATTCCACCAAGCTACATACAGCATGGAGGAGAAATTTTTCCATTTCATGACAGTTTAGCTAACTAATACTAGAGAGCCAACCCTGCATAGAAAACACTTTGAGGTAGATTTCTGAAAATGGTTTGAAGGAGGGACTTCAAAGTAAAGAAAATTTTCTCTATGGGAATCATGGAGATATTAGTGTTGTTGAACTGATCGGGTTTGGCTTTCCAGGTGAATTATTGGAATTCCAATGTGAATGAAATACAGGGGGTCGTGACAGATCAGGAAGGGAAGGTAGTGCACCGGCTGTTTGGGAAGTGGCACGAAGGACTCTACTGCGGCGTGGCCCCCTCGGCCAAGTGCATCTGGAGACCAGGTGAGACTGGAGGGAGCCCCAGGAGCAACAGAAGGAACAGGAGTAGGGCTCAGCCATGCAGTTCACCATGTGTTTCCTTTATGGATTTAAAATGCAGATGCTTAAAACAATTAGTTACATTTATATTTCACATGTAAGTTACATGTCAAAGCCAATATTTGATGCTTGATAATAAGAAAATTTAGGTCAAATCTGTGACATCAGTAACATGATATGTTAAAATCTAACATAAAATCACACTAGATGTAATGCCTACATTTCAAAAGTGAGGTATATTCATTAGAATTTAAATAATTGAAATATGCCAACATATCCTTCCTTGTGATATAAAAAAGGAAAACTTGCAAATATCTACAATCTACAAATTCAGTAATTCACCAGAATAGGTAATTTTTTCACTTGAGCAGTAAATACTGTAATATATTGACATTTAATAAAAGACATCAGCAGAGTTTTGGTAATACATTAGCCTATAATTGAATATCTGGTACAAATGGAACAAGTCTCCACATGAGATTGGTTTTCACTGGAATTTGTCAGTTAATCTCTAGCTTTAAAATCAGTTACTGGTTTCCTAAGAGACCTTTATGTGTATTTAAGCTTCCTGGTAGTAGAGTGGTTCAATCATTAGTAACTGCGTATTGAGTACTTAGAATGCATCAGGCTTTGTGCTAGTTATTTGAGTTACATCAATGAGTGAAGCACACAAAAGACCTTGCTTTTGAATTTAGTAAGAAGTGCCAATAAATACTAATTTAGCTCTGTGTAGTCTCCTTTCTTTAAAAGGAAATAAATCACAAGTATTTCTGGTGAAATTTTAATGCTCATAGTTAACCACCCTGACATATAGTTACCCAATTGAATATGTGAGAGGAAAATATGGAATTTAGTCAGTGTGGACTGCTTCTGTATGTGTGAAGTTTTATTTTAAAGTTTGGATTTTATTAAATATATGAACCTACCCATTCCAGTCATCAACATAAACTTCCCTATCTAGCAAAATATAACCAATTTAATTCACAATCGAGTGTTCGTGACTATAAATTTGGTGTTGGAATGGGATTTAACTGCATTGGGGTAGGCTGACTTCTTTTTTTCTAGAAGCCTTTGTCTTCTCACAGTGTTTCATTGACCTCATTCCAGGTTCCATGCCAACCAACTATGAGCTCTACTATGGCTTCACACGGTTTGCTATTGAGCTCAATGAATTAGATCCTGTACTCAAAGATCTCCTCCCAGCGACAGATGCCCGATTCCGGCCAGATCAAAGGTAAGAATGGGAGCAGTATTTCAGATGTAACCTAGATTGTGATGTGGGCTTTAGAGGTCATGGAGACTTATTTTTACCACCATTTTACCATTTGTTTATTCAGTCATTCTTTAATTTACTTATTCACTCAGAAATATTTGAGTTTTCTACCCTAAGTGAAATCGCATTTATAGGATGATCGTAACAAGTTTATCTCAACACAAAAGTTGCAATGAACAATAACACAATTGTAGTTTTTTTGTTTTGGGGGGTTTTTGTTTCTTTTTTTTGTTTTTTTTTTTTTTGTACGTGGGATCGAACTCAGGACCTTGCACTTTTGAGGCCACCGTGGTGCCACTGAGCTAAATCCGCAGCCCAACACAATTGTGTTTTAACAAAATCATTATCTCGCCTTAATCCCTGAAATTTATTAGAGGACTGCAAATTCACAAACTCTCCCCTAAATCCAGATCACTCCTCATGCAGTGTTTTTTACCTCTTTACATCTGCACCCTGTGGGTGACATATATGGACGGAATGTTATACTGAAGAATAAGAAAATAACTAACAGGAGCAGTGACAAATGTTTTGACTGAAAGTCTAGAGCTGGTCCAATATGCTTTAGGCCCCACAGGGTAGGAGATGTACTCAAAATGCAGTATCTCTAATGCCTTCTCAATTCTTATTTTTATTATTATTATATAATAATGTTAATATTTTATAAATGTTGTAATATTTTATAATACTTTTATTATATAGTACTCATTGTCTGCTCCTACAGAGTTCATTGCACCTTTCCCAAAAATTATATATGCCATACAAATTCCACCCACGATCAGTTTTCTGTTTCCAATGTGTTTATTTTCTGCCAAAATGTTCTCAGTTTTGAATGTTCTGCTGTAGTTTTCGATTCTCCTAAGTTACCCCACACACCCCAAAACATGCAGTCTCACTGTGTGGCATTAAAATGTTACCAATAAAGTCTGTACAGTGTGTATCATGTATATCCTCATTCTTTGCTCTGATTTGGAAATGGAGACATTTGGAAATTACCATTGGGTCTGCTTTTTCCTTTTTAATTCTATTTCAGTATTCCCTTTTTAAATTTCACTTCCTATTCCATGGCCTTTAGTAATCCCCAACCCCCAACGGTTACTTCCTTTTCCATCAGTCTTACTTTCACCAACAAAACAGAAGAGCTCTTTGCCTCTCAGTCTGTCCCCAGCACAGATGGGGAGGACAGCCAGTTACCACGCTCCACTCCATAGTCTGTACAAGTGCCTTGAGGACTGTGGGAAAGAGCACACCTGTGACTTTTTCCCACTGTTCTTACCCTAGACTGCTCTTGTCCCGACACTCTCAAGACATAGAGCCTCCACACAGAAGAGTCCAGACCATTCACATCTCTCTCCTACCATTGTATTGCTGGATGCAGTAATTCAGTCTGCAAGCACAGAACATAGGTTAATTGATGGACAGACAGAGGTGTGGCCTGGGAGAGAGTGAGGCAACATTACCATAGTGTCACTGTTCTGTATGTCGTGTTCACAGCACCCAGAGTGCAATTTTACGCAAATGAGTTTTTTTTCTAAGAAAAGGATAACCTATAGAAACACCAACTGCTTTCTGCTTAGATTTTTGGAAGAAGGAAATTTAGAAGCTGCAGCAGCAGAGAAGCAAAGAGTAGAGGAGCTCCAGAGATCTAGAAGACGATACATGGAAGAAAACAACCTTGAACATATGCCAAAATTTTTTAAGTAAGTCAGTTCATTATCATAATAAATTCATCTTTTACATGCTTTACTTGTCACAAGTCATGAGAAACTTCAGGTGAAAAGAAAATGGGGTATAGTGTAGCATCCAGGGAACTTAAAGGTAGAAAAACTAAACAGTTTGGTAATTTCACTTTTGGCAGTGAAAACAATGGAATCAGATTTTGCACTTGTGAAAAGTTAGGGTGCATAAAAAGAAATTCTTCTCTACAGGCCTTTTCTTCTCATGGGCAGGAGAAGAGTGAGGATTTCACCCAGGAGGCTTTGTCCTTTAGCTGCACCCTTTACAAGGCTGGAAACGTTTTCCCACTCCCTCAGCCAGGGACTAGATGGGATCCTATATCATCCATAAGGCCATCCTAACTTCATTAGGGTTTAATTTGATTTGCATCACACATATCTTTCGCCTAATGAGTCCTTCAGTGCTATGATAGTAGGTGATTACTACAGGATTCTGTGCAGGATTATATATCCATCACACAGATAAGTCTGTAGTTTACAAATCCATCTTTTACCCTCCAGAGCCTAAACAAAGAAAACCTCAGGTTAACCTCCTGTCCTTTAGACCTGTCACTTCTTGACTGTCCTGGGGCAGACATGCAGCCTGGCCCTTCAGGTGTCCACAGTGTGTACATTAGACATGGGCTCTGCAGAGGCTGGTACAGCTACTGATGTTGCATACTTTTCCCTGCAAGGGAAGCAGAAATGATTCTATGGGGCTGGAGCTGGGAGCTCTTAGTTGCAATGTTTGTATATGCCTTGTTTGGGGCTCTTTGTTCTCTGTCCCTGCCTGGAAGTGATTCCTTCCCTCCCTCAGTTCCTCACCTACCTGCTTCTGTTTCAAACATTTAACAACAAAAATGCCTGGGCATGGTGGCTCCTGCCTGTAATCCCAGCACTCCAGAGCCTGAAGCAGGAGGGTCATGAGCAGATAGGACCCTAATTAGTTTACAAAGGGTACTGCTTATGGCTCCCTGTCTAATCTACAGAAAAGGGTCCAGTTATCAGATCACCTTGATGTCATTTGTGGCTAATGTTGGTCTTTATATTTTCACAGAAAAGTTACTGATGCGAATCAAAGAGAAGCCTGGGTTTCTAACAACACCTATTGGGAGCTTCGAAAGGACCCTGGGTTTAGCAAAGTAGACAGTCCTGTTCTTTGGTAAACTGGGAATGTAGAGCTAGCCCACATATCACACTCTGAATGAATAAATAACTATGCACAATTATGTTTCTTATAGCTACGCGTGGTTTCTGGGTTGACTGAAAAACCTACCATTTGCTTTTCTATTCATCTTTATAATGGACTTTCAAAAGTGCATTAGACAAAGCCCCTAACCACTTTTGGATCCTTTCTGTTTTGCTGCAACCATTCTCCTTAAAAAAAAAAAAAAAAAACCCACACCCTCCTCAGAAAGCGGAATAAAAGGAGCAGAATCTAAAATCCAAAGTCTGAAGGATTTGTAAAGAAAACCAAACTGTAACTGGTGCTGAATCCTGATCAAGAGGGTTAAAAAACAATATATAAACCACACGTTTGGTCCATTGTCTGGAAGCACCATCCCCTTTCTCTTAACAGCTCCGGGGCCACAGCAGTTGGTCAGTTCAGACGTCAAGTGTGTTCTGTTGTGGTGTGCCGGCCTCCCCAAAAGAAGTGATGCTTCCAGGGCCTGTGCCATCTGTATGTCATTGTTTATGCCTTAAGAGATGCAAAGATGTACAATAAACCATTTTTTAAATGTATGTTCATAGGTTTAAAGGACAGATCTTTTGAATCATGGCATGATTCACTTTCTCGATCCGAACAATGACTCAACTAACAAACGGATTTAAAAAGTGAACACCATGTGTTTAACTTTGATAAGTGAATTGCTACATGGTATATCTGAAGGGCACAAAGGAAAAAATGTGCTGAGTAGATCTCTGTATTTACATTGTTCATTAAGTTCCTGCTCTGTGTCCAGATAACAAACCATCCCTCCTCCACCTAACCTCACAGCTTTGCCCTATTGTTTGGCAAAATCTGTTTGATTTGGACGTTGTCACCAATGTGAAAACTTTGGAGGGAAATGCCAAATAGCATATGAAATTTCAGTGTGGGCTTAGTACTATAAGCAGTCCTGTTTCTGAAAGAAGCACAATGTATCACACATCTCTAACCCATGGCCACCTGGTCGGCACTATTTCAATTCCACTGAGAATAGAATCAAGAATGCTCGAAGCTTATTTGCATTGTTACAATGGGTTCTATGCAAAATTATATTTCTTATTTTTATCAAGTGATTCCATATGATATATAACTACATATTAGGAATTTACTTTGCTAGGGGCAGAGATATAAAATTCAGGCTAAAGAATTTATCCATCCCAACAGGGGAGAGGGCAGAAATGTGTTTGCATACTTCAGGATTTGTTTTTCCTCCACAGTATACAGAAGCTTTCATAGGAAACTTGCATTGGTGTTCCTAAGTTTCTGCATGCAGATGACTATATAAAATGCCTGTATGTCTTTTTTTTAAATCTCTTAAAGAGATTTTCCTAGAGAATTATAAAATTACACATTTTATTGTTAGATTTTTATTCTTAGATTCTTAACATCTAAATTTAAGTGTTACTTTAAATTCTGGTGATATGGTTACTCACCTTTTATATTCAGTTAGGAGGTGTTGATTTTAGTGTTATTTCTCCTCAGTACACCATTTCTAATAATGGCTAATACACCACCAAACAAAAACTGCTGAGAATGTAAGGGAAAGCTAAAATTTCCACTAGATGGAGCAATATTTAGTTATCCAAAACTCATCCCTCCTTTCATTCAAGTCTTTACATTATGTGTACAGTTCAAGTAAGTTTATAGTGGAATTTCATTCTCAATTACATTCCCTAAACCATCACCAGATCTAAGCATTCTACTTAACCAGACCCTCCCTGTGCTTCTCAAATCTTTTAGCTCCCATTTTCAGTCTTTGTATGGCTTGCCCTACACCTGTAAAATCTTCCCTGTCATCCATGATTTTCCTGTTCATTCATCTTGACAACCTGTTATCGCCATCCTCAAATACTTCGCTTTCATTTTAATTGTAATTTAATTAGAATATACTGACCTCCTCACAGAAAGCTGTTCTCCTTTGATTAGTAACGCTTAAAATACTATTTAAAGTGGTCTTAGCCTGCACTTGCATTTTCCTGAACTGTCTCAAAACAGCATAAATATAAGAATCCATCAAAGTCAAGTACTGTAGGTAGAGATTAGGAAGGGGAAGCAGCCGATGACAGATAGGTCTGACATCAGTGAGGAAGCTGGAAGAGCACCCAGACCCATCAGGGAAGCAACCATTATACTACGGTTATAATTGAGAAAATGAAACATTGTAGTCAGGACCTTGATTAAATAAATTCAGCCTGCAAAATGTTGATCAAAGTTAACCTATAACTCTGATTAGGATTTCAATAGAAAAAAATGTCAAATTAATTAGAATCACCATATTTTATAGCAGATTTAGAATCTCTTTTGGAATTCGTGTACCCTGATTATTACCGTTCGGCGGGCCAATTAAGTTTTAGATAATATTCCTTTAACACCCGATTGACTGATGTCCCCCTCAGACACCCATATTAGTATAATGGTTTCATCCCTCTTTTTCATTTTTTATTGACACTGATGGTTATAGAGACTTCCTTATTGGAATTTTCATCTATATAATATGTAGACTTTGGGGACAGAACAGCAAAGGATACAGTATTAGATTATTCTGATGATAAAACCTAATGTATTCCTTGGAATTTTATATAAATCTTTTTGTTTCGGGGACATTTTTTGTTTTCTTTTCCCCTAAAATGATGCAGGGTAGTGGAGGACTTGATATTTCTGAACACCTCTGACATGATTTACTTCTAAATCCCTACCTCTCATTTGATAAGGTCATTTAGGAAGTTGACAATAAATGACTATGACCCTGTAGACGAAACAGATTAGTGGCATACACCGGCATTTGGAGAGCCAGCCAGAAACTAAGTATTTTGATTCTGATGCTACTACCCAAGATGGAATTTTACTCTCCAATTGTGCTGGGGTTTTTTTAATCAAATCATTATTTTCTCATGGGTTACTTTAAAATATCTTCCCCATAATTTCCAGGCAATTGTAAAAATAAACCTCACTTAAGGTACATTGAATACTACATAATAACTATATGTGTGGGGAAGGACCCGAATGTGGTTTTCTGGATAGGAGCAAACAGGGGCTTTTCAGTACAAAGGAGGCCACGTTGTCAGTGTTCCAAAGCTTTTGCTCTCTTGATTATTCTGGCCCCATTCCATTCAGCCCCTCCACTAATCAATCACTAGATCCTGTTCCAAGGAGCAGTGGGAGGGGCTTTAGGGAGGAAAACCTGATTAATCTGTCTCTGCTTAGTACTGGTTACAGTTGTGGCCAGAGAAGCATTCATAATCATAATCCGAATTATATTTTTGTTATTGCCTTGTGGATTTTAATTATCCATCTTGTCTAAACTTGTTCTCTGTCATCCTGGATAACAAAGTGTTTGTGGGAGCAGAGCTTCACACACACCAGGGGATGTAATAAATGTTTGCACTTGGCTCAGTATATTATGATGTGGCACAGTAAATAAAGTTTGTGTACAAAATACTAGCTTATTTCTATGGGAGCCCTTATGTTCAGGATATATAAAATGTATCTAATTAAATCATTATGAATCTATTTTGTGCTCTAGAAATGTTCTTTGGGGGAAATATGGGGAAAAATGTGTCAGTGGAACTAAGAAAATACTACGTATCAAACCCAGATTAAATTTTCTAAGTCTGAATTTATTTTGTTAAAATTCGTATTTCCAGACTGTACATTGCGTGAATCTTTTTCTTAAATAGAACATGACTTTGGGTTGTTTAATACATAATTTTAAGAGCATACATTTGTTTCTCAAGAGTAAGACTTATTTTTTGCAGTCTCAGCTTTTAGATGAAGTGGCAAATTGTGTAAGAAAAATTAGCTTTAATTATTTGAAACTGAGTTGTAAGGAATGAATTATTTAAAAATTGCTATGACTAACCAGCATGCCCAGTATTTTAAGTAAATGAGGTTTCATGATTAAGGCAGTTTACATGTGACTCAAGGGGAAAAGCACTTGTCTATTGTCTGTGTCCTTTTGTTTTCAAAACAACATCTGACTTGTTTGATTTTCCCAAATCTTCTGGTACTAACTTAATGAAGGGTATGGATACACAGGTCTGTTCTTTTCACAGTATTGTGCATAATTTCGGAATTTTTCAGTATTGAAAACCACTTCATTTAATGTCCTATTGAACACTATTTTTTTTTTTTTGGTACTAGGGATCGAACTCAGGTCCTTGCACTTGCAAGGCAGGCGGCAGAACCACTGAGCTAAATCCCTGGCCCCAAACACTGTTAATTTTTAAAGATTAAAAATTACCCCATAATTACATGTTATTAGTTATTTTTGTATCTCCAAATTGGTAGGAAAACAATGATGTTGTTTTATGCAAATTTTTCTTTCTGGCATGCTTTCTTTCAAAATATGTTCGTTATAGATGGAAGAATATTAAGTTTTCATAAAACGGGATATAATCCTATTTGAGTTCATCTGTTCCTTCTAACACTTTTTTAGTAAACAACTGAACTTAACTGTTAAAGAGCAAATAATGCTAATACTTCACTTCTTTTATTTTAAGCATCCACTTCTCCTAAGTTATTCTCATCCTCTTAGTTCTTTGGGACTTAAAGTGGTTGTGAAGTTATTATTAAATTGTAGGTATAACTGACATATAATAAACTCCATGTATTTGAGCTATACAACTTGATACATTTTGACATAGGTATATACATACCCTTGACACCACCATAGTCACAATAGTAAACATATCCATCATCCCCCAAGTTTTCCCTGCCTGCATAATCTTTCCCCATTCACCCTGAGGCAATCATAAATCTGCTTTCTTTTTTCCTTTGGGAAATATACATATTTTCTTGTATTTCTTGCTCTGAGATTGTCCCAGAAGGCTGTGCACATATAAATAAACACACCTGCCAACTCCACCCATACCATTACCCCTGTGTCAACCATAGAGCAGTAATGCATTACAAGAGGAAAAGTTTCCCATTAAGATCTAGTTCTGGTAGCCCAGTAAAAAAATATTAATTTCCTTAAAGAACTGAATATTCATTATCAAAATTACCATGTAATTTGATGGGTTGATTTCTAAGCTCGCTAGTCCAAACTAATGTGCTGATCTGACTGGGGCTGCTCAGGAAGCCCTGGGAAATGTTGTCTTTGGTGTGTAAGAAAGAATCTCTGACAAAACCATGGCCAGCTGGAACATTGGCCCCTGAGATGATGTTCTGATGATGATGATGAGTGAAATAGCCTCTGCTGCGCCCCACTTCTGAACCATATTTTTAAAAATTAACCTAAACTGACGCACAAAAATTAAATATGAATGGGGTACTATGTCATGTTTCCATACAGGTATACATTATGTGATATTTATTTACCTCACATTAAACATACCTGTCCCCCCAAACATTCCTCATTGCTTTATGGTAAAAACTTTCAAAACCCTTTCTCCTAGCTTTTTGAAATGTATAATACATTCCTACGCTCAAGATGGCTGCTCACGGGCCAGGGATTTAGCTCAGTCGTTCTGCCGCCTGCCTCAAAAGTTCAAGGACCCGAGTTAGATCGTGGGTACCAAAAAAAAAAAAAACGGTTGCTTTTCGGGCTGGAGATTAAGCTCAGTGGCCCTGACCTGCTTCGAAAGAGCAAAGACCTGAGTTCGATCCCCCATATCAAAAAAAAAAGATGGCTGCTTTCCTAGGTCTTCAAAAGCCCCCACAAAGTTGCTGAACCTAATTTTGGAAAAGAAATGGACAGAAAGTGTCAGAGAGTCCAGTGAACTTGAAGCTGTGCAAGTTGAAAGCTTATTTCTTATATTCAGAGCCCCAAACCCTATTATTTGAAAGAAAACTTTCCAGAGGTGATCATAATTAACATTAAATGCTAATAATGGAAAGGGCAAGAAATGGAATCTGGCAAAGAAAAATAGCTTCTCTGAGTAGAGCAGGGATCGTGCTCTTCCGGGATCTTCCTAGGTGGGCCATGGAATTTTCTTGAATGTTTATTTAAATATGGATTGATTTGAGTTTATCTCCAAAGATTCTGAGTCTCTAGATTTAGGACATGGGCCAAGAATGTACATTGTTTGGCCCCCTTCTGTTTCCAGGGAATTTCCAGATAGATGGGGACGCACATGAGTGATACCTGGCCACCTATTCCATTGTCCCTGCCCCAAACTCAGCTTTCGTTGTTCTGATAGTGACACTCAGAGTGTCAGTAAGCCAGTCTAGTTCAAGAATCAAAATCTAATTAGAGCTCAGTGACCTGTGACTCACTTTGTTGAAAGCTCCTGGTTCAGTTGTTTGGCTCCATGGAATTGAATTCTGAATTTGATGCATGGAAGTCAGTGGTAGTGTTTACACTGGTGTGTTTTCAAACTGATGGGTACTGAACAACCTTTTACTTTAAGGGTTTGTACCCTAAAGATGAATGCTAGGACGGGCACTTGGTCAGGCAGTGACCATTCTTTGACTTTAAATCCTCTAGTCACATAGCGAAAAAAGTATGATTGGCCATTTAAAGGTATGGCTTTACTCTGTCCCTGAGCCAGTGCTGTAATATGGAGATAAAGAGTGGGGAGGACAGAATTCTGAAATGTGAAAGAGAAGATTGGTGTTGGGCGGGAGGACATAAAGTGCATTCATGTAGGCCATCTAACCAGCCACGTAACTGGAAGTTTCTCCAAACTGTGGATCGCTCACCCTCCATTCTCTTGCGGGCTTTGTCTTGTCTCTAAGAATAGTTTTTGGGGTGCTGATGAGGTGGAAAGGTGTCTGGCTAACAAGGAAGCCCACTCTGACTGTCCTCATAATGAGGTCTAGCAGCACATTCATTACCCAGGTCAGCTTCTTCCCAAAAGTGAAAACTCCACTGTGAAATTACTCTGCGTATATTGGAAGGTATTTTCATATGGTCATTTTGAGGTAGGAAAAATTAAATTTTGTATTACATATAGAACGTAGAATATCAAGCAACTTTCTATGGAAAAACAGCTTGTAGTTAAATTTCCCAATGAAAGCCAGTTATTCACTGAAAACAGTTGTCTAATTTGTGTCATCTGAAAGTAAGAACCTTGCCTCCTCTATGAATGTTGTATAAAACAATGTTACATTTGTAACAGCACAGGAAACTCAAAACATTTTTAAAAAATTTTTAACTATATAAAGAGATTTGGTTTTTGTGTATAGTTATGTTCTGATAACTTTTCCATAGAATTACTAGTTTTACTAAAATTACTCAATTTACTAAATATTTTTATTTCCAGCAAGAGACACCAGATAAGATATAATAAAGATTGAGTACTTATTCTGACTATATTTCCAGGGGGGTTTTTTCATGTAACTGTTTTCAGATTAAATACTTTTCCCTGAATTTTGAACTTACTTATATTAAAAGACTTGGAAAGCTTGGCTTCTGTTTCCATGTTTCTTGATTATGAGAACAAAGCTATGTGTGAAGACAGTGGTAGATTTTCAGTCTCCCAGTGAAATTGTCCATCATTTTTATAGTTCACCAAGAATAAACATAACTAACATTAACTGTTCAGTCACTATCTGTAGAGTTTTAGAAGAGAAATATAAGAACGAGAAATATTTCTCTCAAAGAAAATCAAACAAACTACTTCATATTCAACTCTTCTTTCTCAAGATTCCCCCCTCCCCAAAAAATGCTTCTCTATTGCATCTCAAAATTTTCTGTACACTATTTCAGTATTTGGGGGAGTTTTTTTAATTGGGTTTGTGTGTGTGTGTGTGTGTATGTGTGTGTTGTTGGGTTTTTTGTTGTTTGTTTTTTGCTTTTTTGTTGTTTTGAAACAGGGTCTCACTATGTTGTTCAGGCTGGCCTTGAACTCACTATGTAACCCAGGCTGGCCTTGAACTCACAGTGATCCTCCTGCCACAGCCTCCCAAGTGCTGGGATTACAGGAGTGCATCATCATGCTCAGCTTTTTTATTATTTTTAAGCTTTGGGTCTTTTAAAAAAATTATTAAATTGTCTCAGTTATGCTTCCTCTATCTTTTTTCCCCATGCAGAATAAATTACTTTTATGTAATTAATACCTTTTATCAAAATGTCCTAGTAATTTTATGAGAACTCTACAGGTTGATTCTCCAAAGAAATGTGAAGTCATTCTTCTTAAATACACTGTGAAGAAAAGTGACAAAATAAGTCTCTCCATTAACCTCTCTGCAATTATGGGCAAATGACACTATTCAAATAAGACTCTTTCTCCATGATCCTTCTAAATGTCACCACTTGTGTCCCTGGCATGGGTCTTCCCAGTCTTTAGATTTTGTATGTTTACTTCTGCATGATACCAGGGTAGGCAAGCCCTAAACAGGCATCTATTATACTGAGTTTGTCATGGCTTGGTTACCCAGGAGAGGCGGAAGGATGAGCCCTCCCAGCACAGCTGTTACAGTCAATAATGTTTGGGTTCATAGTATCAGTCCTGAAAACGCAGTCATTTTCTAAATTCTTCACAATGTTACCCAGCGTGAGTACTGATATTTAAGTAGAACATTCTAAACTTTTTATTTCATTCAGTGACAAAGATGTTTTTCCACAGCCTAGCTGAATCGTTGAAGTGCCCGAGGATAGGGCTGTATGTGTCCCCTACAGCTCATGTAGAAATTGCCTTTGAAAAGGTATCAAGAGGTGGTGCCTTTAAGAAG